TATCATTATTGAATTATTCACATCGGGACACACAAAAGAGGAAATTCACTTTTCAACTAATTTCTGCCAGACTTCCGATCAAAGTCGAGCTAGGACTCAGATAATGAAATCATGCAGAAATCCAACCCCATTACCTTTAGGGGCACTGCAACTGTAGAATCAAATTAATAAAGGACTTGTAGTCAAGACTTTTTTCCATCAACGATCTTACACCGCGTTCAGTTGGGAAATAAAACCTTGATGTCTCATTTCCATTATGCTTTCTCTTTTTGACTTCAATGCGATGCTTTTTGTTGAAGGGGTAGCAAAGGGGAAAAAAACTGGGCTAATCTGATTATAAATTGGGTTAAAAAGTACAGCCGTAGTTGAAGATTCTCAACTTGAAGATGATGCACAGCTGAACCATGACAACTGTTCAAGTACATACCTCTTGAAAAAACAAAAAAAAACCTAACGACAGATGATTCTTCTTACATGTATCCTTTCCACTATCACCTCATTCCCAGTCTCACCTGTACAGAAATCCCACCATGCAATGTGGGACTCATACTTCGATAGGTTATGGAGCTTCAAGAGGGGATTGAAGATTTTGGAAGGAAGTTGCAATGGCTACTGTTTGAAACACGGCAAAGATGTCGGAGACCAGTGGTGTGTAGTGTCACTGATTTTTCCCGCCAAAGTTTCCGAGTTGTTTTTTTTTTAAATTCTGCTAAACAGAAGTGAACTGCCGGCCCCACCCATTCCCGACTTATAACGCCCTGGGTCTCGAGTTGTTCACATTTGTACACATCAGCTATTGGTGAGGATGACCCGGGTTTTATGGGTTTTCAACGGGCGTGCGTCAGTGCCAAGAATAGGTCCATCTTCATCCATACCCGCAGACCTTGCGCTGCAGGCTCTTCAGCCACGTGCTTCAGCCCACTTTACAGGTTGAAGGAGGGAGGGTGATTTATCGCCCCCCACCGTAACAACTGGCTCATACCCTCGCAAATCACATAACATGAGGGTGATGTATCGCCCCCACCATTGCAACTAGCTCGTTCATAACGTAACACATAACAGTGTTCGACCTATGTACTGAGCTGCAGCTGTGCAGTGAAGGAGACCTCGCTGATATCAATTCTCTTCGATGACCGATCCTGTACCATTCCATCCATAATAATGTCTCGTTGAGGTCTCAAGACACGCGACGGATGTCCACCGTACTGACGGCTGAATAATACAGATTGTAATTGTAACTTGAGCAAGATGGGGGCCATACTTTGAAGAGTTAGGATGATTCTATTAGACATCAGGTTTCTGTGATTTAAATTGTTTCCAGTGCAGCTCTTGTACAAACCAGCCTCCAGCGCGAAATTTTATGCCTCATGATGTGGTGTTTAAATTGGTGTTTTCTTACAATATAATTTAAAAGCTTCATTATGTGGAGTCCAAAATGAACGCAGAGTGAGCTTCAAAGTTACATAGAAGAAACCAGATATAAACAAAGCGTATATTCAATCTAAAGGGGGACATATGGCCCAAGAACATTTTTGGTCGAATAGAGCACACTGCCTCTAGGTTTTAGGATTTTCAGTGCACCCGTGCGTTGGCCTGACAGATCCATGGAATGAAATATCATAAACAGCCTTACAAATGAAGTTTGGGGATAAAAAGCTGCATTTTTAGCAAAAGAGGCGGCGACATCTTTGGCCCGTGAAACATTAACTATATGGTTGAAGTAAAAGCTCCGTCTAATTTTCTTATCCAACGAATAGTGTTTATGAAGAAAACACGGATTGTCGTCGTGTTCATCATTAGGTTGAAGAACAAATATATATGTAGGCCTAGCTAAATCGACCACTGTGCCGTCCAGAGTAGGAACTAATCGACTTATGAGGAGTTTAAAGTTCAACTATTTGTATAAAAACCTACACGTAGGCCTACATGAACAACAAAAAATACATTGAATGCACATCTGACAGTATAGTGGCTTGTGCCGTGTACATGTACATTATTTCGTGCCTCTGTGCCGCAAAATAAAACAACGTGGGCAGTGTGCACTCGGATCACAGCCTACCCACCGCTTCTTGTCGAGGTTGTTGAAGTTTAATGCATTAGAAGTCCCCAAAGACGAGGTTACGATTGTGGTGCAGCCATTACCCTCCAGCAATTTTTGCGTCATTTCAAGTGTTTTCTACTCTCCAATTCTGCTCCGCCGTGCACGATTTGACCCGACCTTAAAACTAACCTGGAGGAAAACGGGGGGGGGGTCAAGTGGCAATATCCGCGACCACCTCAAAGGCTAATGCCGTATCCACAAGTTTCACCTACATTTCAATTTGTCAAATGTTTTTTTAATAGCTAATAAAAAGAAATTACTCCAGACACCATCGAATCTTCAGTCTTCCTCAATGTTTGAGTTACAGCCTAGTATTTACGCTGCCGCACGAATTGGGCTGCACATCCATAGACGATCGCTTCATCAATCACTCTCAAGGTAACTTATTCGGCTTTGTGCAGCAAGGACAATTCCTGTCAACAAACTGTCAACATAACATTAGTAATGCGCAGTAGCGGGAATCAATCCATAGGGCCATTTAGCTTTTTTTGGGGGGGTGGACAAAGCTAGAATGGACCCTCTTGGTAAAGCGAAGATTTTATCACCGGGTGCTTCCATCGCCATCAAAGCAATGGGTTTGTCGACGCAACTGCATCATGTTAGCGCTGCGCTGAGCATCCCCTTTGGTACTATTTTTTTCTGCGCGGTCGTTTGCGCCGTCAGAATCACCCTATACCATCGCCACTGGACAATTCGGGCAAGCTGTCGTTTTGGCGCCAATAATTAACGGCAGGGATATTTTTTTTAAATTGTCGCAATGAGCACCAACCAGCTAAAGGGGGGGCATAGCGTTGGCCACGCGCTCCCCCTTTCCATACTTTTTTATTCCTGGAACAGAACTAGACCTATGCATGCGAAACAAAAATTCTGGGGAAAATTGATTAATTCGCGAACAGATGGGTTCCACCGACGTCTTTACTACAATCAATCCTGGGGGAAACAACTTCCAATGGTTTGCCTGCGCGGTCTAGTGGGATGGCTTTTGTAGGCTACACTTCTTACAGCTTTCTGACCGAGAAATCTGTTCAAAATGAAACTCTATTGCGACAAGTAACTCCAGGAATCTCTATCAAGCCTTTGTATCATAATAGGCATTATCAACACTAAAAACGGCACTTTCAATGTAAAACAACGAATGTCCTAACGACCAAAGGGCGTTTCCCAATAGTGCGCCTCCGAGAGTTTGCTACGCGTTGACCAATTACAGTGTGCGAAATCTGTCGACCCAATGCGCGTTTTGAAAAATAAAAATTACATCCTCGAAATCCACCCTCTAGGCTCTAGCCAATACAAACAATCTATGAATCACGATTCTCCCAAAAGAACGTATCAGGGGAATTCGCCCTGAAGACATCATGAAAAATAAGCCTTTTGCGAGTTAAATTTGAATAAAATCTGGTAGACTGGGTTCTTTAAATTCACGTGAACCTAATAATTTGAATTCTCCGTACCAAAGACACTGTTGCTATACCTCGTGATTCGAGGCAAGCTTTTGTGTCGTTACATAAGATGCGCCTTGCACCAATTCACTGTTTTCAATTATGGATAAGAAGGGCACAAAGGAACCGCTCCATTCCAGAGATGGTAGTCAAAAAGCTTGCCCGGAATCACAAGGTTTAGAAATTCTGCATATAGCAGCCATTTTTCTAGTAAGATCTTTTGCTCCGCAGGGATACAGATGAGTACACCTTTTGCACTATCCTTCCGTGACAAAAGCAGTTATCGGAAAGGTGGCTGCCAAGCAGAACCTCTAGAGTAACAGTATCTTTCATCTAGAGAATTCAAATGATGTTTATGTGCCATCAGACGACGTAGTGTATCACATTTATTCAAAGGCTTACTGTGTTCCCCCTGTCTTCTTAAGACTTCACAGCGCCAGTATTCTGAAAATGGTAATATCACCCAGGCGGGGCGGCTTTAGCCCCCCCCAACCGTGCCTGTAATCACCTTTCTTTGGGGGTTGAGGATCCTTTTCATGAATGAAAAATTTCGATTGCCGTTAGGAAAAGAAATGCCCAGCAGATACGCCACTGTTTTCAAAAGGCAACCCCAAACCAATAAAACACATTAGGAATAGGGTAATTTCCAAATGGAGTCACTGTTACATATGATAATGATTTACTTTGTAAACAACTCGACATGTTGGTGCAAAAGGTGTCGAAGCTCGAAGTACATAGCTTCACGCTAACTCCCCATCAACATCAATCTATTTATAGTAACTGGATAGTCGTAAAATAAGAGTAAATTGGAAGTCGTACTGTGTCTTTGATGCAACTAGAGCGACATCCTCAAAATGTCATCCGATAAACTGAGCCATGACAGCTATGACAGATGTGTTACTCTCACGACCACAGACTTCCTCGCGATCACAAACTTGTCAGGTTTGTCCAACTTTCCCCATCGTTAAAGAAGATCAAGCTGTGCATTGACAGCGCTCCGTGCCGCGGATATACGCATCACATTCTCTAAACTGCAAGAATGCTTATAATTCTAAACATTAGAAATTTATTTTCTCCTACCGTAATTTTTGTTTCAACCCCTACTCTTCTTTGCTTGTTATGCTTCGTCTTAAACTCTAACTCTCTTGGATACTCATATAACAATATGTTAAAAGTTATGTTGACAGTAATGAGCATTTTAAATATACGCGCACTTACTGTTTTCTATACATACTAACTTTTCAAATCGTTTAAGTACGCTAAACTGTAACCATGTTCATTAAACTAGTCTCCTTGTATGTTCTTTTAATTAACAGGGCCATTAATTAGCATGCCAATGCTGAAACGCTTAGGAGCTTGCACTGGAACACAACGTAATCTTTGGCGATGGGAACCTCCTATCACTACTCATTGCTGAAAATATAATTCTTTAGATTTTATAACATGCAAGAAAATCTTACCGGTAGTTGAACGTATAGGGCTGTTGATATTAAGGAGGCATAAAACACGTTGAGAGGTCGATAGATCACAGGTCATTTGACGAGACTAGAGTCTAAAGATGCTCCGGCTAGTACTGGAGACAAGTCACTCATTGACAGTAGTACTTAAACACTCCTCCCTTTTGTATCGAACGTTCTCAGCTCAAAAAGTGCATTCCGTATCCGGATTACAAACTGGTTATACGATCGATGATTTCAAGGACTTCCCAGAGGATGCCCAGTGTCTGCACTTGTATTAGTTTTTCACTTGAGAAAAGTTCTAGCTGAACTGGGAGAAATATACCTCATAAGAGCAAAGGGTTCTGCTCGATTTAACATGGAGCACACGAACTGCCCATATAGGCCGTGGACGCACGATCTGCAGCAAAACTGCACTTACCACGGGTGTCGGTCTAACGCTTGCATTTATGCCTCATCGGGCACTCAAAATAAAACTACAACCCCAACGAGTCGAAGCAGAAGCTTTTAAGCTCGTGCGGGCCAGTCCCCGCGCAGACTTGGTAGGCCGCTGGATGGGTTCGTACGTCTGTTCCACGCGAGGGCCTCCCTAAACAATCCCGGCTCTCCACTCTTCACTTTTACAAAACGAGAGAGGGGAGACCATTCTATCACCAGACGTTTGGGTTGACTCGCCAAACACTCCTGAGCTGAGTCCGTGCTGTCGTATCCACAGTTCTCCTCTACCGCTGTGATAATGCGAACGGAGTGTACACGTCCCGCTGAGCCCCATCAACAGAACGTGACCCCACGTACTCTGGCTGCTGAATGGCTATTGTACGCCGTTGACACACGGTACACACAAGACTGCGGCAGACAAAAAAAAGTCACCTTCCGTTTTTACCTTGAACAGAAATATTTCGCATTGCTGGGAAGTTTATCATTTCTTTGCATTTCTCCCACCACTCGTTTCATCACCGACTGCAGGGAACATCGAAAGTTACGATGGGTGAACGAGGCAAAGGAAAATGGTCGAAATTACGGCAATTAGGCGTAGGGACCTGTAAGTGCAGATAAACTTAGCTGGCCTCGCATCCCTGTCTTTACATGAGCGACAAGGCACCGTGTCCGTAACACGTAACAGGCCATGAGCTAAAGGCTGTATGTTTCACGTTCGTTTTGATTTTGGGGTTGTTGATAGATGCTACATTGCTGAACATGAAAACATGAAAAATATCTTGCAACGGAAAATTGAGTCGCAGATGGACACAATAATTTTCATCATCTTCAAGCGGCTACATGGATTTCAATCGCTGAAGCTTCCGAAAAACGAGTCGAGTACTCTGAGTCCTAATTTAAGGTGTAAACTTGAATTGCTGTGTTGGTAGTGTGATGTGATATAATTCGAAAAAGCTAAAGAGCACAGCTTCAAGTTGAAAAAAGTCCAGGAAGCTAAGTATTTATCTGCAGTATAATACACTGAGGCCAGCTTCACCATCATTTGATAACTTTTTATTAATCACAGACACACTCCTTAAATTTTGACAGCTTCAATTCAACTTAAAAGCGACCAAAGATGTGAAATAAGACGTACTGTAAGTATATGTAAATAGCTGTCATACATGCACAGCTTCTAAAAAACAAGTCGAATATTCTTTTGTGTTTCGGTTGAGGATACTCTTTGGATTTGTACTGTGAATTTGGCGTCGAGTAATTTACGCAGAGCGCCTTCAGTAGAACCATGCAATCATTTAGGCACTTTGGACATCTCAAATCGGATTCAGTGTGCCCTCTATTTATCTTACGTAGCCAGTTCACAAGTTACTTATAGACGAACCCCCCCCCCAAAAAATACCCGACTGTGTGTGTTATACTATTCTGGCAATGGAGGTTTACCACTGGTGTTTTGTATGAGTATAATGTGTCCTTCCATTCGATGTGTGATTATCTTCCTGATCCTCAGGCCACCGCGAAGTCCCTAGGGGCTAGGCTACAGCCTCTCCCTGCCGGCCCCTTCAGACACAAACCGCTTCTAAGCCTATAAGGAAATGTTTGCCCAACAAACATTGAGACCAGCATGGAACCGAAAATAAAATAAGGTCTTAAGAAGCGTCCCAAGGATGTCGGCTTTACCTAGGGAGTTACACCCTCCTAAGTTGTTGTATCGCCAAGTAGGAATTGTTTGGCAACAGTGCAGACCCGGAAGGCATATCCAAGTTTGGTACACGGGCTTGGGACAAAGTGGCATTTTAAACGTCTCAGTCGGACATTGTGTGAAGGTTTGAACCTGTTAATGTTCACAGAAGAGGGGGTGTAACTTCAGTATCACCAATACCCCCTTGAAAGCGATTTGTCTTCCATACCAGCATTTTCTGTCGTGGATTATTTGCACCAAATAATAATGCCGTGCTCGGGTCACATGTTTATCACCAAGAGAAACGATGGTCTATCCCGGTTGAGTCATATGGTTGAGCGAACTCGCCAAGTAAGCTGCATGTAAGTCACATTCAATTTTAAGATTTCTTACAAAAGCTGTTTTCCTTTTGACAAAAAAATTAATGTCATCACAATTCCTTCCGTCCATAAACGCTTTATATAAATAAGCACTCACACTAATTTCCATAGGTATTTTTTCAATTATAATTTTTCAAATCAAGTTTTGTTTCTTATCTTAGACCAAAAAGTCTCCGGTTTCTAGTTAGGAGCTGGCTCCAAAAGTGATGCCATGACGTGGATTTTTTTTACCATCACCTTTTTTTTCTGGAACTGATGCACGATAACGTGCGATGCCCATCGCCACTGCATGCTCATGTAACTCCGGCCGCTACCAAAACTAAAATAGACTGGTCCCTGCACTTTTACATTTTAAAAGCATTTTCAGCTTGTACATGCATACAGGGCATAATACCACCTTCTTTGTCTGGCTCCCAGATGTAAAAGTATAATACAGAAATGACGTCATCTGAAAAAGAGTGCCCGACTAAATGCACGGGGAACTATTACAGGGACTCCTTTCCTGTACATTATTACTCAACGGTACCCCATCAAAACACATTAAAATTACGCATTAGCTGGATTTCAGTCTAAGTTTGACAGCTTTTGGTCATCGTTTTTGTACCAAATAAAAAACCTTTTTTGTATTTTGCCGATGCGCAGGTCTATAGCGACGCGCGCGCAGACCAGAAACTGGAGACTTTGGGAGGGGGAACTTATCATATTTCCATTTTAGAACTCAACACCGAAAACAAACGACTAATCAGGGCCGTCATGAAATTATAAAACAGTCATATTCATTCTGTTCAAAGGAACACAAGGTGGATGGTCTTCGTTACATGCTAGAAAATGTGCATGATTCGTCGAGTCTAAGCCGAACCAAAGCTGATAACAATTCAGTTCCGAAAACACATCTTGCAGTCATAGCAGTTCAGCATTTTTTTTCAAGTGGCACGTTCACCCTTTGGTCTAAGGACGGCCCTGAACAGCTACTTTGACACGCCCCACGGAACTGCGAACTACTTTCGACTACTGATAACATTTTGCCCGCCACAATGACTCCTGCAGATTGGAAGTCGCGCGTGGTCAAGAAACCGTGAGCCGAATTTACCCCGTGTGTAGGAGCGGTGTCAACTTCTTGCTGTGGACGTGATAGCAGCAGTGCCTGGAGCGTCGGTACAGATCAGCCGCGACGTCGGGTCTCGCTACTAAAACAACGAGAAAGATTGGATCTGGAGGTTATTTATCGCCCTCTCCGGTCAACTTCAATATTGAAATCTTTCCGTGACCTAATTCACTCAATTTGCCACAATTTGGTGGTCCAGGATTTGATTCTTTTATTACTGGTCTTGCATGTAGCAAATGCATGGGCGGTGTGTGACGTGTGGGGAATTATTTCTTCAGTTCAGGCTCGGCCTCCATTCCAGGTGAGATCGTGACGTGGGCAAGTGTGGAATGGGTGGTGCAGGTTACACGTGCGCATTAAGTTAGTGACTTGAAAAGGGGAGATATATCTCCCATTCCCCCCCCCATCTCCGCCCATGAGCAAAGGTACAGCATATACGTGGTTTCTACTTCGACCTGCAGTTTCACGAGGTCTTATTTCCAATTTTTAGAAGGAAAACTTGATAAACTCGGGTCAACTAAGAACTAGTCTGTCAGCAGTGCGCATGTTGCAATTACAATTGGAGCCTTCCACTTATCTTCCACTAAGGATGGACTTACAGGCCAAAATGTCGTCCATTCAGCCAGAAGTCATGCATCTGTCGAAATGGTCCCCAAGAGTTTTCGTTCCCTGTCCCACTTTGTGACGGTTTTTTTTTCTTTAATCCCTCCTGTGTTTTGTGAGCAGGCACCAGCCGTGAACTGAAGGAGAGCAAATGAGCTGTGGAGAATGAAGAACCACCGGAGGGGAAACAGTCGCCGGGGTCTTGAGGTGATTAGTCGCTTTCACTGCTGGAAGATCTCTCATGGATGCACTACGAGATCGATTCAAAAAAGGGGACAAATCTAATCGGGCATTAAATACAACGGCAGGGTATTTTGATTGAAGCCATTGTAAGGAAGGGTAACTTCCGACCTTCAAGTACCTGCTGCCTTTAACACGGGTACAGTTTGAGCAAACGAAGCCACGAGTGTAAACCCAGAGTCGGCACTGTTGTCAATTAAAACTTTTTCCAATCATCTTACGCTCAACGCTATCTTTTCCTAAACGTTCAAGCATTTTTGTCCCAGGTGATGAAAAGTCTAATAAACTGCCTTTTCAGAAGCAGTACTTTTCCACTTTAAAGCCAACCTTTCTCAAAGGCTGACTCTTAACTGCTTCGTTAGGGAGAGAATTTATCATAACGTGTGCCCGACGGATGACATTAACTGAGGTTCCATTTACTGAGGTGTAACCTGATTTAATTTCCACCATCAATTTCAAAACAGGTTTCTTTCGGAGATCAAACGAGCCAAAAGCTAGGGCACCGTCTCCTCCTCGTGCCAAGCATCCTTTCTTGAAATCAATTTCGTTCGATAGGCATCATCAATGTCGCCGGAGGATCCTCCCCTTGCAGCAAATCAACTTCACCCCGCGACATGTTGGAGGCAAGCATCTTGCCCATGAACGTTTTACATAAAAAAAATTGAGAGATACAGATACATTTTGACTGAGAAACATGACGCCTCACAGAGCTTATAAAGTTTCTTCTTGATTGTGATTGATTTTCATTTAAATCTTCTCAGGACGCAGGGAACACAACAACTCTCAGCTGCTTTCTTGGGATTGCTTAGGTTTCCCAGGCAACGTTCAAGATGCAGGCAAACCCGAATTTTGGTCACAGAGGTCAAGGGGGTCACCTGCGGGTATGGGGGTTATAAATATCGCTGAATGTAATCTGAATCAGTTGCGGCTCCCAGGAATTAAAATTGTTGGTTATTTATGATTTTTTATTTTATTCTTCTAAACGTTAATTGTTTTTACAGAAGATGAATAAAGAATAGTCTGTGAATTAAACACATTTCTGAGGGATATCAAAATAAATAGTAACTATTTCCTGAGCAAGGTCTGTACAAAGTCTGTGTCAATAAAGGTAGAGTTGCTGCTGATTATCATTACTTGAAATTCAGTGAAGCCCACAGACTGAAGCTAACAAAAGATGGTCACAAAATATTAGCAAAATGTCAGGAATTGGTTGTCATTCGTCAAGCCGAAACACGATGCTTCTACGGCGTCACTGTCCCCTTTCCCTGGGTAAACAAAGCACATCCTAAGAAAATATGGCAAAGCAATCCCATACAAAGCGTGGCCAGGATCTGTAGGGAACATTCTCATTTCATGGTAATTTCCAGGGCGTTGGAACTGACGCTGAAACAGTACACCACAGGTCCAGGCAAGAATGCATCTGCCCTGTACACAGCTGGTGTATATTCCTTCATTATTGGGCGAGGATAGTATTTCCGAGTGTGTCATTTTTGTGTCGTGACATACCTGACGTGGAATGATAGAAGAATGAGAGAAGACAGTGTGTCTTTCTGGACTGTCCACCGTCTTTCGTAAGGCGCTCAAATCTGTCATTTAAAATCAGTGCGAAGTACTGTTATCAGTACTGCACCAGCTCTCTGTACAGGAGTTGACGAAAACGTTTTCTGGCAACCTATTTGAAATTAAGTTTGTCCAACACCTTGGCTGCATGAGCGTTATCCAATATGCTACCGAGGACGTGTAGCCAAAACTTACGAAAGGGGAACAATCGTATGAGGACCTGACTCGGTCTTATCCTCGGAAGGTTTTCGTACACAAACCACATTTGCCGAGAATGAAATTTGAAGTTCAACTGAAAGAAAGCAAAAATATACAGGTAGTTATGGGCCCTCGCTCCGCATTTCATTAGCTTTTTTTATTAGCTCTTCTGTAAGCACTACCTTACAGGTTTGCGAGGTCTTCGGTGTATGCGGATGTACATGTGCTTGTTTTGTACCCGTTGACAGTCACAGTTACGGGTGTCGTTCCTGTCAACGTATACGCGGAGCTTCGATGCTACTGATGACAAACTCCTGCCTCGTCAGGATGCCAGCTTGACCTAGAATACACAGGGGAACTGTTTACACAGGTGAATCCGAGCTTTCCATTGCAATCATTCTGCAAATATGCTGGAGGGTTTTCCTCGCCAAACAGGACAAGACGAGCACACCTTCCTTCCCTTCAAGAAGTACCGAAGGACCATAGACAAAAGAGCGACTCTGGCAACGTACCTGTTTAGGGATGAGTTATCATTTCGGTTTACATCCACCATTTAGCGCCACTCCGTGATCATTCGTGGGACATCTCCCGTAGGCCTTGTAGGTACACGTACGGTACATTAAAAAAAAATTAAATTGAATTAAAAAATAGCTTTCGTCTGCAGACTGGAATCCCCTCGGGCCGTTACAATCAATTGCGCACATTTGCAATTGGAAACAAAGGAAGATAATCAGATTCTGTCCTCATCTGGAACAGATTGACTTTGACGTTTTGTACCATAAAAGATGGGATTGCAGTGAGCCGAAGCGTCTGACATTTTGGCTTAATCCCAACAACCTCCAATCTTCCCATTTTAATGAACTTTTTAACCGAGCATGCATGACGCCAAAACCGAGAAGAAAGGCGAGGAGGATTTGTGGAAAAACTTCATAACCAAGTGAGTTATTCCGGAGGAGGGCGTGTCAAACCTCCACGTGGTTTTTGCATCAATAAGATTTCTGACTTCAAGTACATGTATTGATATTCCCTCACCTATAAGGAACGTTTCTTGGTGGTGGGTGGTTGAAGACTGGGAACTTCGAAAAAGAATTAGGAATCATTCATTTTTGAGAGATAAAACTGGAGAGTGTGGTTTCTGCAATATAAATTATCTTATTTCAAACTCCGGTAACAACATCACACAGAAATATCATTTCAAATTAAATCACCTGTGCCATTGTTAAATCAAATGTTAAATGTTAAGTGAAATAAATTAAATTATTTGTTACAATTTTTGTCTCGTTTTAATCCACTTGCTAACCCGCGTGAATCAATGCATGAAATGAAAAGAAAGCCAAACAATTACAAGAATGTATAAATGACAAAGTAAGAAAACAGTCGCAGAACCTCGAATAAAACAAATTCCCCTCAGATGTATTTAATGAGGGTTTGTTAGAGAAGTAGAACAGCTAGCCGATCAAAATCAATTAACAAAACACAGATTGAATCGGAGGACACATTAATTTTGCACAATATGCATAGTAATGAGTCCGCCACTGTCGGAATATCGACATCATTTTTTCCCTTTGATAATCCGTTCAAGCTCGCATTTAACGGCGACCTTGAATCCTCAGAATCAAATCTCCTTCAAGAAGATTTAGGCTTTAAATTTGGAGAGCAGAGTCTGAATGAAAGTGGTTTCCCACGAGGTTACACGGTGCATGGGACTTCTGCTGCTTCGAGACAGAATTAGACTGTCTCGGGGTTATCAAATGTCATTTACAGGTACAAAACAATTTGATGAAGACTACGTTGAATCACTACACTTCTATTCATACCCTTAATCACCTGGAACCCCCATATTACCAAAAACCTCCCACCACAACCACGATCACCAAAAGGATAGGGCCCCAGATTTTAAAGCGTTATCAGTAGGCCTACCTTATTAAAAAAAACATCTCAGGTTTGACAGGAATGCAGCCATCACAATCTACGGCTGATGCAGCCATTATATCCTTAGAACATTTTCATTTTGCCTGCAACTTGTATATGGGCGGCCGAAGTTAGCAGAAATGTCACTTTATATTTGGTTTTTTTATTTTACCTCCAATAATTTTAAATAGGATTGTATTTTTCTTTTAGTATATAGTAGTACGTGTATTATCAGTTGGAGTTCTAATAGCTGTGTGGGATTTTAACACTTTGTAAATTACTTTTTTATTTTTGTACCGACGGCTATTCATAGTTTTCGCAGCCACCTGTAGGGAAAATATGACTTTAACGTCAAAAGAGCAACCCTATTTAGTCACTAACAGGCTACCAACCAATTTCTGCTGAGCCATTTACTGCTGCTTAAATCTTGGGATAACCCATGAAAAGCCTGATCCACTCGTCCGTGCACCTGTCGATGTAGCCGACAAGGGACTGGACGACTTTGTGGATACACACGGGCATATCCGTTTCCTGGCCCACCACGAGTTGACACATCCACACGACGGCACGGAAGCTCCCGGAGCAGCTGATAGTGTCGGGATGGGTGGTTGACATCGGCTGAATTGGCCTGGAGATAATGTGCGACAGGAAAAAAATGCATCACAATCAATTTAGCCGGTTAGAGGCATGGCGAGAAACGGTGATTCTTAGTCCCAAGTTCCGGAAGAAATTGTATCTATAAAGGGGGATTGGGAGAGCTAGAATGTTTAAGTTTGGCTGCATTGGGTGCGTTCAAGAGGTCATTACCAAGAATTGGTTCGGTTGTTTCTCTACAGTTAATAACTAAGGATTTGAGTATACGCTACATCATCGCGTGTGATATTTACCCGGTTGAAATTACCAAAGAAAATCCCTGACGAGTTACAGCAGATTAATTCGTGGTTATGACCGCTAAAAACACGCCTCCGCATACATTTTCCAGTTCAGCTGGTCCTTAGAGGGCGCCCCGCCTCCAACAGTCTGTCTTTGGGAGAGAGGAAGGAGGCGATTTGTTCATTCATTGAGATTACTGTATCCAATTCGTAAGAGTGACGTCACTTCAGTTTAAACCGTGACCACTGCACATGTGCACCGCACATAGAGTTACATGCATTAACGCCGTTCACGTGGAACCGGAAGTTAACGCGCAACTTCAGCGATCGTCCAATGGGAGCCCGCAAATCGTGGCTGGTCCACCTTTGTCACTTACGAACCGGACAGGCCCACTCACCGCAGATTTCCTTGGATGACCATCTCGATGGGGTAGTGATCACTGACATCTTCCGTCTGTGGAAGAGCATTATTATTACCGAGTTACTTTCACATTTCTGTAAACTTAAAACATTTGAAAACGGAGAAGATCTGACGGTATTGCCATGGGCATCGCTGGGATTTCCTTCATCCAGAGAGCAGATTTTTTTTCCAGTGGGACACTGAACCCTTTGGCATTGAGCAGATAAACCATTTACGAAGCATTGGTATTTCCTGAGGTACACGTAGTTTCAAGCAGATTAGTGATTTTCAACCCCTTCCTGTGTCCAAAACCTCAAGCCAGAACTGGCGTAAGTAAATATATCAAATTTGCATCCCGATATCTATAACTCGATGTAGAAGTTGAGAGCGAATTTGACTGTCAAGTTTGAGTCCAGCAAACAAGGTTTGGTTTCCAACATCAAGTCCCTCCATTAAAGACATGACCTTTTCGTATTCATCAGTTACTCGTACCCACAAATGCAAATGACAGTCATGTGGTGTTCCTCGTATTAAACCAATGAGACTATCAAACAAAGGTTAAGAAAACGTGGGAGTGCGTGTACTGGAGCAAAATCTCCATATCTGCGCCAAGATCTCCCACTCCGAATAAACGAACGTGAATTGACCAACCGTTTGTATGTCCAGATTATACTGCTTGTCAAAGTAAAAGGCTCCTGTCTTGTCTGGACGAATGTTGTCGGAGAGGTCGTCCCCAGCAATCACGAACCTACAATTTAAAAAACATATCATTAACCTATCGATACAATAGGTATTTCATAAATCTACACTTTTATTTAGGGTTGGAAACCGTTTCGGTTTTGAATACACTCCCCACGAGGGTCTTGAGTTGAAAATCCGTCTCAATAATGCTATGAAGACAAAGACTAGAGCTATGCAAACCTCCTAAGAAGTACGCTTTTAAATTTTCCATGGGGTATATTTTAAACGCATACAAAATAGTACAACTAGGTTATTTTCCACTTGGCTGAGCTATTAAAGGATTTGACGACGCAGAGTAAAAATGAATTGTAGATTTGGACTAAGACACTCTGAAAACTTTATTCGACTGAATTTCGACTGAATTTCACTCTGGTTAATCTTGTCCTTATAGTTTCAGTTGAAGGGATGAATTTTCTCTCTTGGAAAATAGGAAAGCAATGTCATGACGATACGTGCAGTCATTTTAAAGTATTTTGCAGCTGAAAATACAAGTGAAGGTCTACAATGTTGAAAATGAATTATGATATGACAGGAAAAGTTGCATCTCTTCCGGGTCATGCATTTGAGAATTTTACGAGTGTGGATTAGCTCACATTACCGATCATAGGCACAGTCTGACTTGGCTACTGTGGTGTCCATGTCGTCGGGCAGAATCCACTTGAATCTCTGATCTGATCGAAAATTGATGCCACGCAGGGCTGTCTTTGATAGATACCCACAGTCCGCGTTGAAATCGCCCGCAATGATGGCGTTCTGTTAAGGTACCAATTCAAAATACATTCCACTACTCGTAATTTGAGAAGACACCATTATTACGAATAAAAACTTGGGTTTTGTACTGTGAAAAAAGCAGAAATGAGGTAGGTGTTGTGCCAAACGCCTTCATTTGGCGTGATACCCGTTAATTTTTCATAAAGGCATCAAATTTTCTGGCAAGAGTTTTTGCTGTTAATCTTCCCTCGCTTTGGGGTTGCGGGACAAGTAGGCCCTATCAAAACGTTGGCTGTATGTATACTTCCGATAAAGAAACTCATTCTTTCAACACCAACAGTAAGAAAGTGAGAAGATTTGAATCATACTGTGTTCCCAGATCTGGCGACAAAGTCGTCGTACACGTCGACAAGATGGTTGAGCTCTTCCACCACCGCGCTCGGCTTGATATGAACACCAATCATCGCAAAGCGATCCACAGCTGCAAAGCGAAAAACGAAGTAAGTGTTCGTCAACGACCTCCTCACATCGTTAGAGAATGCGGTTAAGTGTTTTGCCAAACAAGGTTTTAACCACTAAATCAAAATTACATTTTAATAAATTTAATAAATACAGTTACCTCGTTGGCATGTATGCAGGTTGCCGACTTCTGTTTCGCATATACAGATGGAAATTATTCTTGTCAGTAATACGCATGTTTTCCGTAAAGTTTCAGCAACTTTGAGGTCAAGTTCAAAAGGTTTGGTTTTATTTGCTGTAAAGATAACATGATAGGCCTACAGGTTGCTGAATGACCACATAGAACGTACACACCACAACAGGTATTGTTTGGGTTACTATACCTTTCGTTTTTCTAATTATTATTTTTGACTCAATATGACCAAAACGGCCTAAATTCTTACCGGTAGTCGGTGACTCGAAATAAGCGATGAACGGTTCCCGCTCGAACTGGTCGCCAGCTTTATCCTCATAAACGTAACTCCACAGCAAGGTCAGCCGGCTTGACCTAATGAGGCAGGTAATGAGATCAAAAATTATTTCGTCAGTTCAGAAAGCCTGGCAGGTGAACGGATGCCTGGAAGGGTTGGAAATTAAAGGATAGGACTTGTAATCGAATCACCATAAGTCAAGGACTAATTAATATCAAGTCAATGAGTCTAAACTCCATCTTATTCATAGAGAATGCGAAAAGGGGATTTTGTTGTAAATGGTCATCGACAGTGACATCAGCGTCACTTTAACACTTTTGACGTTACTTTTATTACTTTGTCAAAAATATTAATATACTTTGTCAAAATGTTTTTATGAATGACTTGTAATTGACTTTTCAATGACCTGACGTACGGAGAAACTTCCACAAAATACGGGCGTTTCACTACAGTGCGTCGCCAAGGGTTGTCAACGCAGTGGCGTTCGGACGTGTCGACTGGCAATGAGCATTTGGAAATGGTCGATACACCCATTTCACACTATAGAGCCCGAAAGTAAAAGGGCACCGTGCGCAGCGAGCTTCCGGAATCATTACGTGGTCTTATCATGTTCGATAACTTTTTGGGACAATAATTCCTAACTGAAACCACCCCATGAAACACTCATGTTGGAATTTTACCTTTGTCTTCCTCAACTAATATTTGGGAAAAGTCACCTGGAGATGGGTAAAAAACTAATTTTATTAACGAGCTTTCACGTCTGGCGATATCGTACCTAGGTATCCTTGTTCACGCACGTTTCTTTTCACTCCTCGTGCTTTCGTGAAAACGAGATTGTACAATGTTGCAAAGATTTACCTACTTGCATAGGTTCCAGATTCCCTTGAGTTGACATCACGCAGTTGTTGTCAGTAAAGGTTAGATAAAATATTAGAATCTTTCGTAAAAGTGGCATATTGCTTTAACTTATCACCCTTTAAATTATAAAAGTGTGCAAATATTTTGAGCTGTTTTTATTTTGGCTTTTACTAACAAACTACCATAAAATATCAAACCGTATCTGCGCACGAGACTGCCGCATTGCACAGTCTGTTCTTCATGTATTTCATGTATTTTAGATTTCGGAAGTGGTGGGTCAATTTTTGGCAGGATATTTCTCATTTAGGTCAAGTAATTTTTCAGCTTCTATTAACTGATATACTAGGAAATATTTTCGAAGCCCCTTTTCTGAGTTGGATTTTTGAAGAAGTAACTGAACGAAAAAACATTAAAAATTGTAAAATCTTTGCGCTTCATTTTCCTATCCAACCATTCCGGAAGCGCGCCATCAGGGGTCAACTTTCAGGCTCGTGTTTCGTCGACGCATTGCAAACACTTGATGGCGCACTATTGTGAAACGCTCTTATTCTCCAAGACGTCTTGGGAGAATGTCTTACTTGTAGAGAAAGGCATACTGCTCCTTGCTTGTCGTCCTACCGAGTCGTTCACTCACGATGATGTCATATTTATCTTCCCGGTTCCTGCATTAAAAACATTCCAAAAATAAATCTATCGTGTTATTGGGGTGTGATCCCTGGCTAAATGATGTTTCAGGTTTAACAGGTTCTGGCTAGGTCCCCCCGAACACGGATATTGACAAATGGGAAGATACATACATGTGTCTCCCGGAAATTTGAAAAGAGCTTCATGGTGGGGAAGAAATTGCAATAATCATTTGGGGGAAAATGAAATATGGCCATGTATTAAACCTTTGTTAATGTTCAGAATACATGTAAGCACTAAATGATCTGCAAGATTTTACGCAAAAAATGGTCGGTTCAACACCAATTCTCCGAGGAGCAAGCATATATACTTATCATAAAGAGAGATTTAGTAATGAGACACGTACGTTCACAGAAAACAGAAATAAACTCACGAATTCAGAAGATCTAAAAGTATTGAAATTGCCGTCTCTGATTTATCTCGAATTTCTTGAATCAGTAAGAGATCATACCGCTGCAGAATCTGTAAGTGAAATTAAATTCAATTGCTTTGAACCCGCAATAGTATGCAAAATTTAGAGTTACGGTTCATAATGGCACATGTATGTTTACTACAATGTTTGTAACAGAATACATTCCAAATTAGTATTTTGCTAAATAGTTAAACATTTTGATAGCATGCGTTTCCTCTCGGTCATTACCCTCAAAAATAAAATTAAGACAGAAACCTCACAAGAGACCTCATACAGTGGCTAGCATCAGGCATACATGTACATGAAAGCAAAAATTCTGTATAGTCCATTATGATTATAATCGCAGTGAAGTTTGGGTATAACATGGCTGAATTCGAATAAAGAGTGGGTAACGGTACAAATTGGAGTCTGGCTGCAGGGCTGAAAAGTTTGTGCGGGGAAGGAAATGATATGGCTGCAATAATGCTTGATATCTGATAATGTAATTCTTGTCTCACTTCCAAAGGGGAATGCACAGTTCGTTTAATTAACAGAGGGGGAGCCTTCGGAAGAAGGGAAGAACTCAATTTGTGGGTGTGACCGTGCGTGCTATTTTGGGGGGTCATGTCTCTGCATACGTACCCTTACAAGTGTTTCCACCACGTCAACTTTGCCGATTTTGGACAGTCCGAACACTTGAATGTTGAACGCGCCAATCACCAGCGAGCCATCGTCGGAGGAGCCCTGCAACTCCATTGCTCGAGACGATGGGGGTGCTGTTGCAATTAGCAGGTAGCAGGCGATGACGAGAACATATGTAGATGCCATTGTCATATGATTTGCTTGCATTCAGCACCTATACATATATACCGTTGTCACAACATTAAATGACACAACATTCAACTATCACTAAGCTGCGCTCATACACGAACAGCGCATTGGAGTGGCACTTTGTGGACTCCACACCACTCTACAGCAAAGCGGACTTTCCGTTGACAGCAAATTCAGTCTAAGACGTTTGATTAGGGGAAGGGTGGAACGCGGATGGGGGATAAAAAAAAGCTTACAAAATAAGACCATGCATCTTCTTTGTGGCCAATTGGCGGTATTTTTGTCACTGCCAAATTGAGAAGAAATATGGACACGCAGTTGACATCGAGTAAATCGGATATATCAGCTTATCAATTTTATTCTAAAGAGTTCATTATGGCCCTGCGGCAATGTAAATCAATAAGCGATCCTCAAGCCGTGTCTGTGGATTCCATTGTCAGGCACTGGGGTTTATGCGCCATGATGTAGTTGCTTAATTCGCCCTCACCCCATGATATGGGTATTAAGATTTCCAAATACGGAAATCACTAAGCCCTTGCAGTAGTTTACCGTCCATAGAAGGTCAAATGTAGCAGGGAAAATATTGAAGCATTCATTTAGAAAACAGAATTATTCTGGCCAGTCCCATATAGGTTTGTTCACAGGGCGTCACCCGTCAATATCTGTGTATGGAACTCTTTCAGAGAACAGATCCACAGTTGCATTGCCGCGGCATTAGTATGGAGACTGACAATGAAGGGCGAAACTTACTGCCATTAGCCTTTTTTGAGGCATGACGGACACAATATGAGTGCGTTGTTTGAAGTTGGTATAGGAATGAGCACAAAAGATTCTACCGTAAACCACATTGCGCCCTCCATACCTCAAGGCAGTTCAGTACTGAGGGGCCCCAAATTCACTATGGATAAGTGGTACATAACACTCAGGATTTAAAGGCCAGGAACATTCTGGGACTCATTATGCTACATATCCAAGACAAATTTACCATCAGAAATTCACATAAATCAAGGCAACGTATAATTGTTTATTCCTCCTTGGTTCATGCGTTCAAATGTCAGCTTACCACAAAACTTGGTGTCAAGGCAGGGTCTCAAGGCAGGGTGGAAACAGCTGCCCGGGCGGTATACCAACGGGGATGTGTGTTGTACGCGCCGACTGGTGTTGTAAGCTTGTCACCATAAAAAGTAGTATCTAAGAACTTTCAGAAATTTCAAGTCTTGTGTTTGGACGTCCACAATATACATCTTCCGTCACGCCCAGTAGGTAAATATAGTTATTACCGGTCAGTGTGGTGTGCGGGGCGGTGTGCACGCACCGACCAATGAAAGCATTGGTACGGATGGATGAACATTGAAAATGTTTGTCATTGGCTGACATGACCCCCTCTCGCATAGGCCTACATGCAGCGCTTCCACAGTCGATTGCATTTAAGCGAGCTTGTTACTGTGCACAAGGGCACTGTCCTCACAATGGGATAACTCACTACACGGGATAGCGGAAGTGGGGCAAGACTTGGATTAAGGGGATGGATTTAAATTTCCCCTTTATTTTCCCATGTTGCCAACTCAACTTAAGGTCCAAACTATAGCCCCGAAATCCACGAGGATTTGACACGTGGACGGCCATCCACAATGAGCAACGTTGCCAGAATGAACGCCCCAATAAGACATGATGAATGGGCGGAGTTGCCTGCCCGTCAAAAAAGTTCGCCGTGAGAAGGATCCTCTGCATTTTACGCCTCACATGCGTGCAATAAGTATAGGCTCTTTATGTGAACAATTTTAATTAGCTGAAAAATAAACAGCAGAGTGGCTACAGGTCCCTATTCTCCCACAAAACAGCGCCCATCGTGGCTAAATACATCTGTACATAATGCATATCCACATATGCACGGCTAACACTGCCATCCTCCATGCATAATTGCGCTTGCCCTCACTTCAGTTCCAATTAACCCATTCCTGACACATTCCATGTTTGGGATGCGACTCCAAACTGAATCTTAAATGAACGAACATGTGACTTGTTCATTTCGTTACGTCGAAAAGCTGTGCGTACCTGTGAAGCACATCAAGTTATTACGTTCCTAAGTTAATTTACCCCTTTATTAATTATTCCAAAAATTTGATCTTTTAATTCGCCACTTCGAAAGTCATCTACTAACACTGTTTGTAGCTCAGGTGCCAAGCCGACCCAGACGAGCAAGGTGATCGCGTACATAACGGTAAGAGGTTTGCACAAGTAAGCAGGAGGTGGTAGGTGCAGCGAATGACCGTGCCTACCCCGGGTGCCCCCCCCTTCATTTGAAATCGATGCGAGCGGCTGTATAGGCCGATGCTTTTCTTGTCTTTTAGTTCCCCTTTGAAAAAAAGTGTGCACCCTGGGTGCCTCCCGGACATAATAGCCCTAGTTTAACACCACTGTTAGTGATTCCGGTTTCAGCCAAGTTTTAAAAAAAGGGAAATTCTAATACGTAACATGAAGCTGGTGTGGGTGAGTATTTCTGTATGCATCACAGAAGTACTGTTTGTCCGTGCTCAGCCGTGCTTGCCCAGTCAAGAAAGATTTGCCGGCTCTCTTGTTACCAACTGCTACCGAGAGCATGGAGGAATAAAACACTAGGTATAGGACGACGGTAACAAAACTTGCTATGATACTGGCGGTCGTACTCTGTGGTTCCCGGCTTGCTCACTTTATCATGAAGATGTTCACCGACGCTGTCCAGCAGGGAGGGAATCTCTACATCGGCTGCGACCTGGTGGAGGGAGTCGGGAATGCGACTATTTCAACTGGACTCTGGGAGAGCCCTCTGGAGGCGGCACCGATCGTAATGCGTGCGATTCACAATAGAGCGCCTCTAAGAGTTTGCAACGTGTTGGCCAATCACAACGCGTGAAATTTGTCGACTCTTTTCAAACGCGCATTGGGTCGACAGATTTCGCTCGTCGTGATTGGCCAACGCGTTACAAACTCCTTGAGGCGCCCTATCGTGAATCGCCCGTATTGCCTGCACAATTCTACGGTTCTCATATTTTTGGACCATGAGAGAGGGTCGGACGGCCGGTCAGGGAAGGGCAAAAACGACTTGCTGAATACACATAGCCCACAGGAAGTAACGACATGTGTTTATTGTATGACTGTCCTGCTTGAATATAGTTTTATTTCCAGGACTAGAAAAATCTATGAAAAATAAGCTCATCTTTGGCAAATCTGCATTGCGTTGGCACTGAGTTAAATTAATAAAATATCTCCTACTCTGAAACACGTCATCTGTACCTTAATATAATTAAAATGGTACAAAACAAACCCAACTTTAGTAATTTTTTGCACTGAAATAAAAAAAGGGAAAAATGTATGAATCCTAAGTTACAAGTACACATTTTGCGTAAGACCTACTGCTATGGATGATATCGAATGCCGTTTATTCATTGTGTTGGAATGTTCCCGGCGTTATGTAAATAACATTTTAATGAGTTGTTTTAATAATAATGCTAATGTTTTTAACGATGTTTTTCATAACATTTGCTTAACGAGTGATGTCGAAGGCAAGATTGCCTTTGAAAAGTCTCCTCTGTTATCGTTCCTTATTCAAATTTATGGAAAACAAATTACAACAAAGGCACAGGGTACAAATGTTGATGAAACGCGACAGATCCGAGTAAATTGCTACTGTTCACCCGATTTCCAAGCTGTGCATAATAATTATTGTCAGGTGAAATGACCAAAATGGCTAGAACAGGACACACCTTGACAAACACCGACAAACAAGCTATTTGGGGTCAAAGGGAATACCTGTTTCGTTTTGTGCATGAAGTAAATATACTCCGCCTTCAGCCTACGACGAAGTAGGCCCACTCAATTTGTTTGACAGTGGAAATGTGAAAAAAAAATCGTGACCAGCTCCGGCGTTCTCTAGCCTATTTTGGCACCTGCGTGTTTACCATGATCACTACATAGGTTACTGATTAATATCTGCGGTTTTAGTTAGTATGCTATGCTGTAGCCTATGCCGATCCGTTTTGATCAATTAATGCTTGCAGGTGCGTGCGTAGCGAAGCATTTTCCTCTTCGTCACTGTGCGCAACTTGTGGACAAGCATACATGTAAATGATTCCTGTACCATCTATCTCCTTTCCACAGCTCGGCAGGGATTTTAGTCAATGCCCCCCCGGGGGTCGTGGGTTTGAACCCCCCCCCGTGCCAAAGCTTCGTTTTGCTTGCTTTTGCTTGTTTGAAAGACAAAAAGACAATACACCTACATCTGAAACTACTCCTGGAAGCGCTATCTAGCCGGCAATCCTAGTCCCCTTTGGCGCCACCACGGTGGGGGTGGGGCGGGGGGGGGGGTAACATGAGCTATTTTAAGGGTAAATTTCTTTCCCAGCAGCCCCCCTCCCACACACACACACCCACACACAACACAACACAACACAAATCCTGGGCGCGCTACTAACTTCAGTTACAGTACAAATATAAGGAACATATTGTATAAATCTGTATACTTGGAATGAACTTGGAAATTATATCTAAGATAAATAGAGCCTGAAATTTGACTCCAGCATGATGGCGCGCTTCCGGAACCCTTAGATAGGAAAAGTAAACTGCAAAAATGTTAGAATTTGCAATATTTTTCGTTCAGTTACTTAAAACCCTGCCACAAGGGATGTGGTGACCAATTTAAAACTCAACTCGTACAAAGGCTTTTTGTGAAATATTTGCTAGCATATCAATTTATAGAAACTGAAAGACGACCTGACCTAAAAGAGAAATATCCTGCCAAATATTGACCCATCAGTTCGGGATATAGAATATAAATGAAAAACAGTCCAATGTTGTGGTCTCGTAAGCAGATGAACAGTTACGGAATTATATTTTATGGTAGTCTTTCGGTAAAAGCCAAATAAAAAACAGACCAAAATATTTTACATATTTTGTAATTCATAAGGAAATACACTTAAAGAAATAATCTGCTTCAACGAACGATTCGAATGTTTCATCTAACCTTTACTGACTAGAACGGCATCAGGTCAACTCGACTGAATCTAGAACCCATCGACTGCATGTGGGTAAAAATCTGTGCAAGGTTGTTCAATCTCGTTCCCAAGTAAGCATGGGGAATGGAAAGAAACGTGCATGAACAAGGAGACCTGGGGATGATACTACCGAAAATGAATGGTCGTTAATAATGAAATTCGGTTTTTACCCACCTCCAGGTAACCTTTCCAAAATATTACTTGAGGAGGACAAAAGGAAATTCCGACATGAGTGTTTCTTGGGGTGGTGTCAGTTAGAAATTATTCTTCCCCAAATTATCGACAGTTATGAAGGATGGCCCCATGGAACATCCCCATATAGACGGACTGCGCGAGGGTTCCGGAAGATTGCTGAATTACTTTCAGGCTCTTTTATTGTGTGGGTTGTGGGGTGGAATCGTGCGTGGATCTATCGGTGTAATGCTCAAGTACAACCAAATGCCTTTTAGTAATTACCCTGGGGCATATCAACCTGCATGCTAACAACGAACAGACACATCCACGCCACGGCACGGAAACTTCCCGAGCAACTGACGCTGCCAGAGATGGAAGACGATAGCGACCCCGACTCAGCAGATCTGTGAGTGGAATAATTGAGAATACGGCTGTTGGCCCTATGATTGACATCACTATTTTTGTGAAAGGCAAACGATATGTGCTCTTGTGTGCCACGCCCAGAGGGATTCTCCAATATTGGGCTTCGCCTAATTTTTTACCAACTTACTTCGAGGTAGTTAGCTCAATGACAAGTCAGGTAACTTCCACTGAAATATCGAACTTCATGCGACACAGCCAAATCTTGAAGTATTCCAATTTAAGTTAAGCACTGCAGGCCCAGCTATTCGGGGAGCGATTCTTCAGACGAAGCCCCGGCACATACATGAAGCTGAGTATTGGAAAACCACTCCAGTTTGCAAGAGTTACATAATGCAGCCAACCTACCGGTGCACGGGGTTTCCGGAGACGTACAACTCTATCGGGTAGTGATCACTGACGTCTCTGGCCTGTTAAATAACAAATTTCAACTGCTGAATACCAAATGAGATTCAACTACCCAATGGACAGCACAAAAGGAGTATGAGTGACGTTGTGACGTCATAGCCTCATCAGTTGTCATAACTTTGTACAAATCAATGCGACTGTGCTTTACAAGGCGACCAGTTAGTCTTTCATGACGAGTGTCGTTCTCGCTGCATCTTTTTCGCCAAACGTGTCTTTTTTGGGTTTCCCAATTCGATAAAATTTCCACGTACTCGTTTGTTTCTAACATTACAAAGCTTTAAGTGACAGTTTTGAAACCTCTTGAGAGATGGAAGATACTTTAATTTCAGGAGACATCATCACAGTTCATCCGCCAACAAAATTAATAGAGGAATAAAATACGAGGCCGTCTCCTTCATTTTTCTTTGTATGGACGAACAACCGTTACTCACTCAGCTTTATCTACTTGCAACAGTAAATGTAAATTACAAGTGACAGTTTTGGTAACGCAAGCATGTGAGCTAGCCCACATTCCCGGGCATTCTTTCATTAAGATTTTGTCTCGGGCAGCCCATTCTTACCGTGTCACTGTCTAGGTGATACTCTCGGTCAAAGTAAAATACCCCGGATTTATTCGGTTGGTAGTTGGCCAAAATATCCGCACCAGCGAGGACAAACCTGAAAAGTGAAAACAATAATTGGCTGTTAACGTGTATACGGCGCTATGGAATGCCCACTCTTGGTTGTCTGACATTTTTGATGTCAAGCCGTTTACAAAATAACAGCGACGGCTCTCCACGATGCCCGCTTGTCTTTTTTCTAACACAACACGCTGGGGGTAATCAGACTAGAATAAAGGCTAAAATCGTGGATGTTTTTCAAACTGAAGCAAAGTTCCACATTTCAACAAAGGGAAGCTTCCATGATGAAACTATTCTCTACTCAAGACTGGCAATGAAACCAGTTTCGCCATTTGAGAGCCATGGTTTATCCCAAGACTGAAATACAAAATATTGCGGCTCCCTTATGGAAAAACCAAAACTTATGGCGCAAAATACCCGAGCGTTACACAATTGGACATCACTGAAGGCGAACCGCAAAGAATTGTGGGGCGTAGGACGAAGCAGAGTGTAAAGCATGGACCTCATATAAAAAGAATCTATACCCATAATTCCCTTAATCAGCATGCAGGGATCATTGCAAGTCTCGTCACTGACGGCCATCTTACCGTGCCGAATACAAAAAGGCTCGCTTTCTATTGTAACCAAATTCGTTCGTGGCATAATGCCGAGTGAGCCAGCACTCGGGTCTGTATTCGGCACGGTAAAAGTGGCTTCAGTAGGTACAAAGGTTTTCTAAGTCCAGATTTTTTTCTATGACGTTCGTCATGTTCTTCCTTCACTCGACCCTCACCGGTCGTAGGCACAGTCTGATGAGGCCACGGTGGTATCCGCATCGTCGGGAATTATCCAATGGAAACGCTGATCTAAACGCAGGGCAGATCTCCTGAGAGCGGTCCTCGAGGCGTATGAGCAGTCCGCGTTGAAATCACCACCAATGATTGCATTCTGAACGAAACAATTTACACAGAAATATGCACACACATTACTTGCCGCTGTGTCTTTACTGAAATACAATACGGCCGTTTCACGATAGTGCGCCACCAAGAGTTTGCAACGCGTTGGCCAATCACAACGCGCGAAAGTTGTCAACCCAAAGCGGGTTTAGAAAGGGTCGACAAATTTCGAGCGTTGTGATTGGCCAACGCGTTGCAAACTCTTGGAGGCGCCCTACTGTGAAACGGTCGTATTGGAAAATGCATTGCCTCTGATTGAATTTAATGAGGAAACTAAAAAAGAGCCCAGTCATTTTGGAGCTGAAAATAACCCAAAAAACCTCCTGTTCTGATACTTAGTATCATTTAGTTGAAACATAGGCCTACCAAATCACTCAAATAATTAACTCTAATTTAATGAATTCTAAATGGTTTCCTTGACGATTAATCTATTTTAGCTGAACAAAGGAAAGGAATCGCGTGATTTAGTTGTCGAAACGAATTAAAGTCTGAAACATCAATAAAAACATTATCGGTAAAAGAGAAAATATGTAAAAGAGCAATTGTATCATACATAAGCAATGACACAAACCCTATTCGGTCTTTGCACCAACAAGCAACCAACCTCATTCCCATGGGTACGATCTTGCCGCACCATGTTGGTTCCCACCACGCATTGCGCGTCTAACGTGCAAGCAGCCAATGCAGTCGAGGTTGCTTATCAACATACGAGGGAACGGGTGAACCGGCTTGTGTAAAGATCGAGATCTGGGCTCCACATGCCTATGACGGCAGCGTGCTAAGCGCGAGTAATGACCTTCTTAAGGTTTCTGCTAAGCGCGAGTAATGACCTTCTTAAGGTTCCTGCTAAGCGCGAGTAATGACCTTCTTAATGTTCTTTTTCGTAGTAATTCGAGGAAGCCTTGGTTGCCTGGCTCATAGAAATACTCCAAACAAAATTCTCTCCACCGCTGATTGGCAAATCGGACTTACATCTAGTTGTTATTGATAAAACAATTTAAATCAAAATGAATGACTCCTGTACGCTTGTATGTCCATCCTACCGTGTTACCCTCAGATCTATTAATGTAGTCATCGTACACGTCGACAAGATGGTTGATTTCTGTCACAGCCTCGCGCGGTGTGGTGTGAATACCGATCATCCCAAACCTGTTCACGGCTGCAAATGAAACAAGTGTAAACTGAAATAATGGATTATCTTTCTATTTTCCCCTTACAAATCGGAGCAAATCCCTGAAAAGCCGAAGAGTAATGTGTCTGCCACAAAATAAAGTTCAGCGCGACTTTACTCAGCCCATTTCTCATTGTAAGCCGAAAGTGTTCGTTTTTACCAGCTGCCCCACAATGGACCATGTTTTATAAAAGTGAAGAAAGAGGGGTTTCAAAAGATACCGCCCTGAGACAGCACGTTCTGGCCAATCAGCAATCTCGTTAGGCAAAAGTATTGTTAACCTCAATCCACTATGTAAAACCATACTGAAATCGGCGGATTGAGGACTGTTAGGGTTAATGTGAAAAGCTAGTAACATGTAACATAATGAGTTGCAAACCAAGTGGGTTTCCGCCTGGTGTGAAAATGAAAAAAAAAGCCTGGCATATTATTTTACATCAAGCATTCCGTTATCGTTCGTCTGTAAAATGGACCCTCAAACAGCCAAAAACCCTGTATTCGAAGAGTTAGGCGCACCAAGCACTGGAGTTCAAGAATTTGAGCCAATCTGAGCCAGTAAACACATCGAATTCGAGGGCTCGAAAACCGAACTTTTTTTTGCTCACTCGATTCTTTCTGAGCCTCTTACCAGTAGTAGGCGACTCGAAATAAGCAACGAAGGGTTCACGCTCAAAGACATCCCCGCTTGTGTCATCGTAGACGTAGCTCCAAAGCAACGTCAGTCGACTTGGCCTTGGAATCAAGCAGTCAACATTCATTGATAAAACGAACATGTACTGTATCTGTTGTCACTATTGTGACATGCAACAAAAAAAGTTTCTAAAATCGCGGGGAGTCGGTGCATTATGTGCGTTCATGGGGGGTCTAAAAGTGATGGTTGTGGCACCCTGCTCAGGTGTGGACCCCAAGGTGTTAGGGAGTCCAACCTCCTCCCCTCCCCCTTTTGAGACCCCCCAAAAAGCGGAAAAGGTGGTGAGAATGAGAAAGTATTAAAACAGCTAAAGTAAGTGCACCAATACCATTGTAAACAATGCATGGCATATATAATGTTTCATCGTCATTTCTGCTTGTCCACAAAAATGAAACATATTAAAGCCCCGGCCTCAACCCACCCGGAAAAATTCTGGATCCGTCCCTGCCGCTTATAATCTGTCTAACTATTTGTAGTCAGGTTGATCTGCGCTGGGTGGTTGAACTTTCGTGGCCTTTCTACTCGGTTGGAGTCCAAGCTGGCCGGTTCACAGGTGGATTGGTTTTTAGGGGCGCCTCAAAATTGTCAATACATGCATAAGCCTTCCCATAATTTCCTTTTATGTTTAGTGTTTACCCTTTTTCTCTCCAGATGGTTTGCAGAACCATGACTCAGTTTAGTTTCAAAGGCCTCTGGCTTGTTACAGATATAATAAAAAATGCACGTATCATCAAAATTGGCTTTAAGATAACGAAGAGACACCCATTCCCCTAGGCAAGATGGAATAAAAAGTTCCCAATCTTACTTATAAAAGTAGGCATACTGCTCTTTGTACGATGTGCGTCCAATGCGCCTGCTCAAAGCCATCGTATAAATGCCCTCCCCTGTGACGTTCCTGAAATCCAAGAATTTTTAGTTGATGATAAGCAGTTGATTTTGTTCCAATTTAATTTAGCTGGAGCCGGGCCCATGGCGTCCGTTGATGATTTAATAAGAGTTGTAGTCCGAGAACATTTACGCTGTAAATAAAATGTAACAGTTGTTCATAATTGTATGGAACATTCACAAGAAATCCGAAAGAATAAATGGTAAATCAGTTCTAGTGCTACAAATTGGTTTAAACAGTTTGTTTGCAAAATGTTTGCATCACGCTACAAGATTTGATGTAGGCCCCTAATAGATTAATAGACGAACCATTTATGATTCTTGATAATATCTCAAGGGTTTTCCAACCATTTTGAGAAACTCTAACGTCTAGGAATATCACCAGGCTTACAGCATGACACACTTACGAGTTAAGATTCTCTAGCAGTGTTTGAATTGCAGTGCCGGAAGAGTCTCTTATTTCTTGTATCAAAACAAGATCGTAACGCTTCAAAATCTGTGAATGGATATAAAATAAGCAATCATTCCTCCGAGTTAACCCTTCCAGTTCAAGATACGCATTCAGACGTTGACAGTGATGCAGCATTTACTAAAGAAGACCAAGCAATTATATTATGCAGAGGAATTGAGTTCATTATTTCCTCCTAATGATACCGCACACAATGTTGAACAGCATGCATTAGGCCGGAAGTATAATTTTCAGTTAGTTTATGTACTAACCTTGACCAACATCTCAACTACATGAGGTCTGCCAACTTTGGTGACTCCAAACGTTTGGATGTTGAAGGCACCGATAACCAGTGAGCCGTCGTACGAAGAACCAGGAGAAACCGTCCCATTGCACTGTGGAGTTGCTGTTACCAGCAGAAGGTAACAAATCCCAACGAAGATCTTCATGATCAAGTTGGAGTCGACGTGTACTTCAGGTCCTACGGTGGACAAAAAGAACATTTGACAAGAAATGACAACGGCTTGTCAGTGGAATTCAATTTGGCTACGCGCTCACGGTTTTGCTAATTGCATCAAGGCAGGCTTGTTGGGTCGCAGCTATTCCAGCGCGGCAGTTCTCTGCATGTATATATATAGATGGTTATGTGATCCGGGTGTGTCGTTCCTACGTGAAACTTATTTCCTTGTACATGTGCACTGGAATGCGAACCAATACATTACGCGCATTAGTTTTCGGATGTTTTTTTTTGTTGGAAGACTGCAGTCCATTTCTATGACTAAAAACAAAACCAGAGAATCACCTGATGGCTATTATTACGCATTACGATTGAACTTGCAAATTAAACTCACGCAATATCCGATTCCAAATCCTCGACTTGATAATCAACTCTCCAAACCACGATCCAAGTCAGGGGTTGGAACTGGTATACTGTGGAGAGTGGGGAATTTCCAAAGCAAAGGTTGCCAAAATCAGTATTGATATATACAAGTAGCGTACATATACGCCTACGTCTCTTCACACAATGCACTATGGGAGGCAACTGGCAAACAGTTCAGAAAAAATACAACGAAATTGACCTATAGATCGAAGTGACGAGTCAGAATGCACAAATGTCACAGTATGGTGCACTTGGTAGTCACAACACTTGTCGGATATACTCTACATACATATGTATATTATGCAAAGACGCCTCTGATGAAAAGCACTGTAGCAAATGGTTGCCGTAATTAACTTCCGGACAAGTTCGCCACACTGTATGATAGGCCAAACAGAACAAAATCCAGCCGCTGTCACTCACAGAAACGCATTTTTAAGGTCATCGACATTTTCTGCATGGTGTAGTGAGTTGAAAAAAAACTGTTATCACTGGTTTGGGGGAAACGGAAATACGAACCTATCTACGCGATACCCAGACTGTTGTAGTCTTAATCATGATGATTGGTCTTATCCGCATAGTGGTGTGATATCCCACTGTGGGAACTTTGCAAAGTACGACCATAGAAGTAGAAATGCACTTTCCGTTCTGCCAAATATTTTTGGTTTTCAAATGCATGTTTTTAGTATATATGATCTGAACGTGTATGTATCACTTACTTGTTAATTACATAATACTTTCAACTATAGAACTTTTTCTTTCATTTTGTAGGTCACATTACTGAGGACAGCATAATACTTTGGTTCATTGTAATTTCGAGTGCCTCTGGCGATAATTACAGTGAACAAAACACAACGAAAACCTCGAACTAGTACAACATCCTCCCTTGAATGAAGTTCCTCTCCCCGAATTCACATACTGTTCACGTACACACATGGCATGATGGGACAACATGTACTAGACGCCAATGTAGCCGTAGGCTATACTTTGTGTGTACGGTATACAGGTACAAAGGGGTGGAAACAAACCAACAAAGTCATAAATGGTAAACTTCAAGGCTACATACAATACATAAAAATCACACTGCATGATTACATATAACTTGAATGAGCTGGCAGGCTCTTTCAAAGTAGAATAGTGTCGTGGGGGGGGGGGGGCAGAGCCAACTGGTTTTGTCCCCCTTCCGCCATATCATGCTTCCACCTACCATTTCCTAATACCATGAAGCGTCGTCATCGTGCAGCGAACAGAAAAGGGCCTAGGAATAGGCAACCACCCGTCCTCATATACCCTGGTTTGACACAGTCTCGAATAAAAACAAACGAACAAAATAACAAGCATCTAGAAAAATGAAAATCGGCAGACCAGTTTTGTAGCAATAGTAATTAGTATGGGCTTTGATGTAATAATAGTAGCGTCTCCGACGCCCTGTAAAGAGGCTAAGATACGTAGAACTTACGTGGTATCCGTCGTCCAGTGCTACTACACATTTTCGTGCATGAAACACCCGAAGTCGCGACGTGCTACCAGCGAAAGGTTCATATTATGCGGAAGTGGCGCTGGGATTGGCGTGTCGTTAGTTCCCTTTTTTGCAATCGAAATGTCCAGGTTAGCGGAGCTTTTTGACAGTGAAATTCCTGGGGGACGAAAGGAATTGCAGGATAGCCATGCAAATTTGTTGGATGTGGCGTCATACTGTGAGGATAACTATTTAAAGGCAAGTGTTTTGATAATGCCCAGTTCCCGTGGTCTGGTGGTTAGTCATGTTAACGTTAGTCATCTAATGAACTTGAATCAGTGTTTTTGTACTGTAGGTTTGATTACGTGTACATGTAGCCTACGTACACAAAGTTACAAACGTACAGGCCTAGGCTTACGTGTATTTAGCTCCATTAAGTATTTAGTGCGCATGCTCCAATTTGGACCCACTCATCACCAGAAATGAAAATAAGCCTATAGGCATGATTGCGGATTTTCAGTCACATGATAATTTAACACAGTCAGCAAGGTCAGCATTCAATTTACACGGATGTACGTTGAAATGTGCACACCCTTTGAAGTCACTTTCAAACAGTCTTATCTTATGTACATGAATTTGCCAATAGAAATACACAGTTCGAAAATGTACGCGCCAGAAAGAGATCCATGCATATACAGACGGCGTTAATTATTCCGTACAGTGACCTACAGTCATGACAGTATTAGGCCTAGCTGTCTGAAAACAAAAACATGTCCAGAAGTTCAATTTCGGAGGAAAAATATAGTCAAAAATAAAATAAGTCATGTACTTAGGAAACACTTGGAATTTTTCAGACCAGTCGTGTAAGGTTTGTGCACAAGGTGTCAAGCAGCATCTGTATACGTTTTCCCATGAAGCCACCATGGACAGGGTACATTTGTAGGCTTCCTGATGTGCCTTTGCACGTCATGTGAAAAACTTCTAAATGGATTGTTAATACACAAGCATGGCAAGTGGCCTGTTTGGGGTTTTTTTTTGGGGGGGGGAAGAATGCTGCAGACTCAGGCATGTCACTGCACCACATTCAGCCAATGACAGCATGATCATGTAAGATTCTTCTGTTGGGTAGAATCCGTCAGTCAGTATGACCTGTAATCCTGTCATGCCTTTTCGAAATCTCTTTGCTAATAAACCTTCCTGTTTTTGACAGTTTAACTTTTTCACGTCCGTGAATTAGAGGCAAAATGCAGTCATCTGAAAGTGAAATAGACAGATTGTACATAGATACGGCAAGATTGACCAATTGAAGATCGAGCGATTGTACTCAACCCTTACTGTTTACCTTTCATGTCAGGCAGTGGTCTGTGAGAGGTGCTGTGCTTAACGTGTACTTGAATTCATTCGCAATGTTTTAACTTTGGTGGTGTATTTTTTCTTTTTTATCATGAACTGTCCCTGTTTTTTGTGGGTTTTTTCATTACTGTCATGACTGTTCAGGCACTACTTTGTATGGAACAGTTGTTGCATGTTTTCAGGACGTGTTGTACAGTGAGTTCTACATTTGTCAAATCTTTTGATGGCTTTCTCAGTCTCAAAATAAGACAATTCATCTCTTATTTTGAGATCGCTTCCGGGTGTTTGCAGGAAACAAAGATGGCAGCCTGCCAAATTCCAAAACCTTAAACTACAAATTGAGCACGTGCAGAGGAAGAACTGGCAGAGCAGTAGGAAACATGAGGGACCTGGTCATGGCAGTTGGTACTGCATGTTCATGTATATACATACATGTACACGTACCCATTTTGAGCACTTTATGTAAACTACATCACATGCATGAACACATCAGACGAAGATGTCCGTTCAACTTCATGTGGCTTTACACTGCTTCACACTCACAACTTTACACTTCTTCATGGCCTGCCAATGCCATTGGCATGACCGGTTTACCGCTTGCCTTTGGGTATTACTCTGTAATAAACTTGTCCTGGACATGTTATTATTGTAAGCTAAAAATGCTGTCTTTTTAAAACGACATCACACCCACAGTCCATAGCAAAGTTGGACAATACAAATACCGAACCTTTGTTGTCATTTATTAAATATTTGTTTGACATTTCTCACCATATCATCACTTTTTAAAAAACCTTCAGAACTTTACTACAGCAATTGGCCATGGCCTATGGCTGCTGGAGGGCTCCGAGCCCACTCAACCTCCATGAACTAGTTTTGACCCGCCGTGTGTGTATAAACTCAGTGTGTGTATTTACTCAAATCACTCAAGTGAAATTTCCTAGGATGTGTGTTTAAACACCCTCCATGTTATGACACTTGGAATCCTTTCATGTTTGCACATCATCAGGGATGAAGTGTTTAAAATATGCTCAACAATCTGCTATTACCTGTATGTATTAACCCTAACCTTCCCCAACCACACAAAATTAAACAGTCGTAAAGTGTTTAATTCTGTGGGGATAGGTCTGGTAGGCCAAGACAGCTGGCTTTTGCATTGGGTTTAGCATACCTCAGAAAAACAAAGTCCAACAGCCTCTGTGCACAAAGTCCCATGTTTAACTTTGTGTGAATGGGGAAGGTTAGGGCCAGCAACCCTTGGGGGGTTAGTGTTAACTCGCGTACGCAGGCAGAAAGACTGGTGCCAACAAAATTGAACAAACCTACATCTTTTCCTCATTTTTATTCATAAGTCTTCACACCTGGATGTTTTCGTTTCTTTTCTGGCAGGCTGCCAACAAGACTAATGCCCTGGCCGAGACAAGACAGTATGCCACGCAGGCCTTGGCCAGCGTGGCCTATCAGATCAACACGCTGGCCACCAGCATGCTGCAGATGCTGGATTTGCAAGGGGTGCAACTGGCAGACATGGAGTCAAGCATCAACCACATAGCTAGGGTAGGTGAATTCCATTTTGAGTTACAAGGAGTGTGTCTGTAGCCTTGTACTGGCCCATGCTGACGAAATATACTTATCAAAAAAGTTAAGGACCAATTTTTATTTGGTGTATACTTTTGTAGATGAAATATTTTACTGCTGAAAATACCCCAATACAACTGTCTTGAATGACCTCAAACACACTGTAATTTCACATGTGGTTGGTTTCAGTTGTTGCATAATGTCTCTTGCATCATTGCACATCCTGAAATTCCAAGTTAAGACAAAAGTGGTCCTCGACCTTTTTTGAGTAGATGTTTACAGATGAAAGCAAACTAAGAATTAGAAGGTATTCTAAAAAAGGAAAGAACTTACAAGTAGTTGGGAATGAATTAAATTATTGGATGTCTCAATATAAAGTGTCAAATGAATTAAGAATAAATGTATCAAATGTAGCATTTTCAATTTAGAAAAATTTATCCAATGCGTATGGAAAGTGCATGGACAACTCTTGAGTGAGTTCAGCAAACATTGTTCATATCATATTTGGAACTTGGTATCAGTTCATGTATCAACAAAATACACACTGTGTCGTACTTGAGTTGCCCTAAACCCTGTCAGAGGCTTCAGTTTCCACCGAGGCATGTTGCAAGATATTGCAGGATTCGAGCCCAGTCACCTGTTACTTCAACTTTACTTGGTGCCCCATGGAAGTCAAAGTACACAGAATGTACAAGTGGTTTCCTGCGCAGTGGAAATACATTAAATTTAGAAACTTCAGGAAAGATCCTGGCATCAGTGCCAAGGGAGTTAGGTTTTGAAATCATGAACAGATTTGTTAGCCGATTGTTTGTAAGCAAATTTATTTTATGTTCTCGATTGAACCAAGAAGATAATTTTTTTACTCTGTTTTGTGTTGTTTCCTTTTTTCGGTTTTTCAACAAGAATGTGAGCATCCACAAAGAAAAAGTTGCCCGACGAGAAATTGGTGTACTAACGACCAATAAGAATTGTCCCCGCACTCACAAGATCATTGCGCCGGCCAACCCGGAGAAACCCATGAAGTATAAATCCACGCCAATTGACTACAACGTCCTAGATGACACAGGCCATGGCATGAAGCTCAGCAATGCACCCAAGGCCAGCCGCACCCAGGACATAGGCAAGCAGCGCACAGACTCCATCAGCAGCAGCACTAGTACTATGAGCAGCCAGGACAATAACTTCCCCATCTACCAGCCCATGCCTGGTGCCAAGTTCGGGTCCTGGGGCAGGACCAGCCGACGGCCCTCAGTGCCCCCCAACGCGCCTGTTGCACCGAGCACTTACTCTGTCATTGGCAGGGAGCAAGGTGTTGCCCAGGGCTCACCTCAGCTGGGCCGGCAGCAGCAGCAGCGGCCCCCTTCATTGGCATTTGGCCAAGCCCCGCCTCCTCCCAGTCAAATCGGCATGGCTCCAATGGGGGCTCCTCCCGCACCACCTGCCCCACCCCCGGAAACAGAGGCACCCAACCAGGGACATCGTATGTCGGTGCCGCCCATGGCCCCACCTCCCATAATGGCTCCTCCCCCCATGGCACCGCCGCCACCCACAATCCCTGCTGCCGACTTGGGCCCAAGGAGGGGCGGACCTGGTGGGGATGGGGGTGGCATGATGATGATGCCACCGCCGCCTCCTCCAGACATGATGGAGTTGCCAGGTATCATGCCCCCACCGCCCCCGCCAGATGCAACAATGGAGTGTAAGTTCATGCAACCTGCTTTCACATCATCGACAACATTCTCTTGTGCACTTATGGCATAAAGACATTCTCAAATGCTGGCAACATTGGTACTGTAGGTCATGAAATGCACCCCTTAGCCCTATAAATTCATGTACATGTTCATACATGTGTTACACCCAAGGTGACCGGTACAAGTCACCGTGAGGGTGCACATTAAAATTGTGACTCCAAACTGTAAAAGAAGGAAACAGGCAGGCATTTCCCCGGTTCTTCTCAGAACCACACATACTCAAAGAAGAGATAAATACATGGTGTTACCGCAATCCTTACTATAAATCTACATGTAGTTTCTTTCACCATGAAAACCTTTAAGTCTTATAAGGCAGGCACTTGTAAGACATGTGTTGGGGTCGATGTTATTTCCACAAAGCATGGAGTCAGAGTGACTCAGAACAAAGACTCCTCACGTGGCCCACATGTGACCACACTGCCTTCTAGGAAGCATTACATAACACCGTGCTACTTCCTCTCTTAGCCGTTTCATGTCCATCACCACTTCTACACTGAACAGTTGTAGGATTATTTCCACTGTACTAGCAGCAAGCACAAACATGAAAAATGGGGGGGCATGTTCTTGAGGTAAACAATGTGTACCTATTCCAGGCCCCTACACTTGAAATGCACGTTTTCGTAAAGGTTTAAACATTCCTGAGCTATCCAGTTTGAGACAATTTAGACATATATGTTCATCTTTGGGAAATATTTTTGACTATAGAGCTTTGTGTTGCACCTTTAATGTCAAGTTTGAATTGAACTTCAAATTGTAGCATCCTAAAATGCTACAATCGTATAGCAAACTCGAAAAAAAAAAGTTTTCCTTTGGTACGCATGGTGCTTGGCATTTGTTGCAGATGGTGAAAGGCAATTTCTAAAAAAAAAAGCATTTGTTAAAATTGCATATTCAACAGAAACAGCAGCCACAATAACCCAAATTCCAAAGTCATTCACTCTTTGGAAGTTTGAACTTTCCATACTCCTCCAAAATCAACCTTCAAGGTAACATTTCCTTTGACTTGCACTTTTTAAGGGGTATCAAGCCCGTGTGAAGTGAACATGTGGCCTAGGGATTTGTAGCTCTCGATCATGAGGTCGGGGGTTCGAATCCAGCAGCTGGCTACATTTTGAAGTCTTGGGCAAGTCAGTAAATTCTCTGTTATCCCTGTCTGTGATTATGGCCGGGCTTGGACCTTCCTTAATCCAGAAAGTCCCTCAAAAACCTGGTGGATTTTGAAGGGTCTTTGAGGGTTGGGGTTTAAGATGGAAGGATTTAGGTTCAAGGAGACCAGACCAAAGAGCTTCTCAGTGATCAATATTCAAGCTATTGATTCTCCCTCTCTGTTCATACAGTGTCATCCTTGCCCCCTCCCCCGCCCATGGACAACACCCCTTACCCGGCCAACATGGGCATCACTGATGAGGAGATGCCTCCCCCACCAGAGTTTGTCCAGGCCGGTGACATGGACCAGTCAGCGCCGACAGATTATATGGAGAAAGGTGAGCCACTGACAAAACCAGAGTCTGTCTGTGAACAGGTCAGGAGTTTTGGTGTCAATCTAAAACGAGATACCACAGAAAAGTACCACACTACTCTTTTCATTCATAAACAATGAATGTGGTCACCAGTTTTCATTGTTTCCTCCTGCTTTTTTCCATATTTTCGTAGAATATGAAACTACATTCTTCAGGGGCCAATTTTAGAGATTTTCGTAGCGGGGAACTTAGCTAAGTGTAGAGGATAATGTGCTGAATGAAACAGGGTTACCAGCAAAAATTCTCATGTGGTATCGTCTGTTACTGATGTTTGGTTCCTGGCAGATTCTGGCTCAGCACATAAATTTTGCTGCACAAGATTTTCCACTCATTAGCCGCATGTGAATATTTGTCCTGACTCAAAGCCAAGAACACTACTGTCTTCCTTGAAGCTTAATTCAACAGGTAAAACAGAAATTGATTGGATCAGATGAGCAAGTGTTTCACTAACTTTTTCAACCTCCCCCGTTTTCTGCTGTTTGTCATCTCAGTGATCGCCATCTACGAGTACCAGGCGACACGAGATGACGAGCTGACTTTCCAAGAAGACGACATCATCTACGTGCTGAAAAAGAACCCCGATGGGTGGTTTGAGGGTGTGCTCCATGGCATCACAGGACTCTTTCCTGGCAACTATGTTGAGGTAGTTCCATAGGAACTTCATCTATTCGGCCAAGGAAGAGACAAACAGGTGGCTCCTCATTCCTTCCATCTTAAGAAGATTACACATCAGGGTAGAGTTTATTCTGCATCAGAACGTAGTTGTACAGTGTCAAACCTAACCGTCTACTTATGTGAACGTGTGCTTCAGATACTCCTTAAAATTATGACTCGGTTTTATGGGTTGTTATGGATGCTTTGCGTGGCAGCCATCTTGGAGATACATGTACATGTGCGTGCTTTGCTCCACCGGGAAACATATGAGTAGACCCTGTGTGCATTTAAAATTGAAATAAGAAATTAAAACCTACAATATGGCTGCCACATGCAAAGCCAGACACTGTTTATTTGGTATGTAATATCTGTGGTGTGTCTGACACAAACCACGTTTGGGTTTAAGCTGCATTTGAACCGCTTTAGACTCAAACGTGCATGCCAGATTTTTGTGTCTTTTATCCTGGGAAATTGGGGGTCAGTGTCATAAAAGACAAAAGGGAAACATTTCAGATGAGGCAGTTGGGCTGAGCAGTTGAAATATCTGTTTCACTTTTTGCGCTTGCTGGTAATATTTTGTAGATAAAAGAATTATCCTAAAATGACTACATGTACATTGAATATTGTATGTCTGTCCGAATCTGGTATTTCATGGAGTGCTGTTCCAAAATTGTACTGAGGTTTATTTTCATTGCATTAACAAAGACTAATGGTACCCTGTTGTGTGATATGGGCTGATGAAATATGGAATAATTTTTTTTCACATGCATGCACAATTTACTTTGTATATTGATATCAAACTACTCGCATGGCAATGAAAACCTTAATTTGGGTTGGGGGGGCATTCAGTATTGTATTGTATCCGTTAATAGGTGATTTCCCAACATGGGAAAGGCTTCAAACGAACATTACGCTTCTGTTGCAATGTTCCCTCCATTGCATACGTTCTTCTCTGCAACCTGATTATCTCAAACCTCAATCCAGAGTTCTAACGGAGTCCTCAACTTTGGTAACTCTCCCTAAAAAGTGCATTTTTGAAAACATTTACAAATTGCTTCATGTTTTTTTCTGACAAGTGAGCGCACTGTTACTTTGATGGCGTCAGAGCCATGTACAGGTACTGAGAGATTTGTGACATAAGTGTCACCACTATTGGAAACCAACAGGCAGGTGTATGTGCATGGACTGTTGGCATATACATGTACATACAATAGCCATGTGGTGTATGGTACACATAATGAATCGCCTTTTTGTTTCCAAAATCTGAAGCTCGCACTTCTGGCTCAGTATACAGCTTTGGATGTCATTACCTCATTTGGGGGGATTTCTTTTAAACTTGTGAACCGAAAATTTGCTCCTTGAAAATGTTTGGGAGAAAGCTTTGCTCACTAGGCTAACTGCCATAAACAGAAACAACAGTAAATCACCCAAGCAAACAAAATTTAAGACAGCAAGATATCCAAAATTCAGGCATAGCGGCAGAAACACTGATGCGTCTACCTTGGATGACATCACACCTAGCTGATAAATATGCAAATTTTCATTAGTATACATGTATAAATCAAAGGCAGAAAATTGCCCTTCAAATCAGATTGAATGGGACACAGAGCATGCATTAAGAACTGTTCTTAAAAATTACATTGCACTGGCCCTTAAGAGTCTGAAATTCTCGCACGGACTATGATTAAAGTATTCAGTTGTTAATCTATTTCGGCAGTTGACTTGTGACCCGACTTGGCACTACAATGGTTTCAATACATAAAATGTCATCAAATTTCTCATGAAGTTGAGATTAAATTGAATGGAATGGTCTTAAAAATGAAAATCGAGATATTTTGCACACTTTTCACCAAACATTATATTTCACATTATATTCCAGGTGTGTCTATCAATTTATCCCGGATTGACTTTGTTGTGCGTGCATATGGTTCTGTATAATTATGCATGCATGATAATGATATATATATGAAGGGCCTTATGTACTCCACTGTTGTTAACTGCAGCTTAAAATCAGGAATGAAATGAAAAATTGGTTATTAAAAGAAGCGGTAATGTTCAGATAATGTATTCATCTGTTTCTTGATGCATGCCCAGGGTCGTGGAATAACAGCTGTATGGAATCAAGGGGAATTTTCTGAACGCGGGTATCACGAGAGGGGGGCTAAGGAAGTTTACACCTTTAGAACTAGGGGGAGCAAGATATGAAAAAAAAGGAGAAAGGGGACGAAGTCGCCGAGTTGTTTGAAAATTCCCCGGAATGGAACCCTCCCACTTTCCATCGTTGATGGTTTGTCAGTGTGCAGTGATAAGTGCAGGTGCGGTTCTAGGGGGGGGGATTTGACCCCCTCCCCCAACTTTTGTCTAGCCCCTGAGAAAGCAATTTTTTTTACTCCAAAGTTAAAGAGCAGCACCGAGAGTGAAAAGATGCCGTCACGTGTGAAGGGTCTAGTGCCCCCCCCAAAAAAAAATCGGCCTTAGATCCGCACCCGGATGAGTGCTTTCCCCTGACGACCACATTCCATCCCACCCCAAAATGAGCGCTGCCCTGTTTCATGAAGTCAGATCAAACATTTATTGCAAAACGGAATGGGAGATAGTGTGTAGTGGTTTGGTTTGGCTTTGTCCCAGCAGATTGTCACGCCCCCTCCCCATTTGCTGAAAAAAGGCTTTGTTTCACACCTTCCAGGCGGAAATGTTTCTGCAGCAGGAAATGAGAAATTAAGGGGAGTTGAAGCGAAGCCTTGAACCTGCGTAAGCCATGGAAGTTGGGGAAATGGCCATTTGTTATTAATCGGTCCCTCTTCTTAAAAATTTTTTTTTGGACTATGATTTTGTGATGAACCTTGTACTGCATTGGCTTGTGCCAGAATATGTAGACCGAACAGATTCAGGATACCGAAGATAAAGATCAACAAATTCAAATTCACAGGAAGTTCCTTTTTCAGCAGAAATGTGGCTTTCTATGCACGAAATATAATCTCGCTTAGAGTTTAGCAATTAGAATTTCGCGGCAAAAGGCCAAGTGGCGTTTCTACCTCATTTACCAGCAGCACCACCAACCTTATAATTTCTGATGATTTACTGGGAAAAATGAAACGATACACTGCACAGTGAGGAGATAAAGGCGTTTATATTTCCAACAGTCAAAGCATGAAGGAGGAATAACGGTACTCGATTTTTTTTTTCGAAGTTAGCATAATTTATCGGTTGCAATTTGATTTCTGCTTCGTATTCTCTGCATTTTTTTGATTCCCCGTAAGTACAGGGGAAACCTTGGAGGTCCATGCCCGTACAGGTGCTCCCCCAATAGGTGCAGCCTATGATCAGCTTCTGGTGCCCAAATGTGTACACCCCGGGCGCCCTGTCCAGTAAATTAATCCAAGGCTGGAATTCGCCGATTAGAGCCAAGTTTTCTTCCCCGCCGGCGCCCTCAGACGTCAATGTTGAACCAGCCGCTCAACCCGGAAGTCAGTGGCATCCAGCCAAGCGTAGAGCTACTCATTATTATATCCAACTCTATGAGAGCTACGTATGAAGCCAAACCAAGGGCGCTGAGCCAAGCGAACCCGGAAATATCAAATACTCAATCATTTGATTGCGGTTGAGGGTTAGATCATTCGTTCCCCGGGAAATGTTTGAAAAATGGCAAAGCTCGCAGAACTCTTTGAAACTGAGATCCCAGCAGGACGGGGAAAACTGAAGGAAAGTTGTGCCAACTTGGTCAATGTTGCATCGCATTGTGAAGAAAATTATGTGAAGGTGAGAGTGCGAATCGGTATACGGGTAAACCCACTCAGCGTGCATGTTCACAAAACCCTCATTAATTCTCAAATGAACTTGTCTTACAGTGGAATTCTTAACCCAGTTAATGAGATATCAGTTTCATGACATGTCATGAGTTTCAACAATTTTGTTGAGCTTGTTTTATTATTGAAGTCGTGGTATTTGTTTTAAATTTTTATTCATATTTTGGTGAACTTTTTTTTTTTAGGTAGGCCTAAGTTAGATATGGGAAAGGATGGTCTGGGATCTGGATGGCTATCCCAGCAAAGCATTGCATTGTCCCAATCAAAATCTGTAAATTGTTTCATTTTTTAAGAGAGGTTTTCTTGTATCCCACGAACAGGCTGAAAATAAGAAGGATGCTTTAGCCGAGACAAGACAGTATGCCACACAGGCCCTGGCCAGCGTGGCCTATCAGATCAACATGCTAGCCACCAGCATTCTGCAGATGCTGGATTTGCAAGGGGTGCAACTGGCAGACATGGAGATGAGCACCAATCACCTTGCCAGGGTACAGCCAACTTATTAGCATAGCTAAGTGGCATTCATTCACCTGCCAAGTTTTATTAGTTTTCATGTGTTTCCAATAAGTACACCACTGTTACTAGATACAGTCCAGCAAGTCATTTCAGGAATAATTTAGTAGCAAGTTTTGGATGACTTCACCTACTTAAACTCGGATTTTAATCACCTTTATCAATGTGTACATTTCTGTAGAAGTAATATTGATAACAAGTTTTATTTACCTTTACCCAAATTGGAAATTGCTTGAAGGAGAATTCTGTAAAGTGTTCTGTCAATATTTATCCAGAGTGTGAGCGCACACAAAGAAAAGGTGTCACGCCGAGAAATTGGAGTCCTGACCAAAAATAAGAATTGCATCCGCACCCACAAGATCGTCGCTCCGGCCAACCCAGAGAAACCCATCAAGTACAAGTCGGTGCCCATCGACTTTGGCACGCTAGACAACATTGGCCATGGCTTAAAGATCACCGACCCCTCCAAGGCGCCGGGGGCCCAGAAGCGCAAGGAGTCACTCGTCAGCCCCAGCAGCCCAGCGGTAGACAACTTCCCAATCTTCAACCCAGATGCCCGGCCACCCAATTCCCCCTCGGAGTGCGACCTGTACGCCACAGTGCGCAAGACCCCCATGGGCTCCCCCAAGTCCGTGCGGCAGTACCGATCGCCCAAAGCTGGCCCCCAGGGGGGCACTCCCTCACCACCTCCACCCCCTCCAGCCGGACCCGACATACCCCACCCACCTCCTCCACCAGAAGCCACTTTTCCCCTTCCCCCCATGCCTGAAGCTCCAGACTCTGCCCTCACTCCTCCCGTGATGGCTCCACCGCCCTCATTTCCCAAACCACCCCCGGGGCCTAAAGTTGCCGGTCAGGAAAAGGCGACAGTGGGGGGTGTGGCTGCTATGATGATGATGCCCCCACCACCCCCTCCTGACATGGTTATGCCTCCAAATGAAGGTACTGAACAGATCTCAGTTGACTCATTGGGTGGTTAGCTCACGACTCTCAGTGGGGAATCTAGCATTTACAAATCGGGGGAGGGAAGTGCCTGACATTTGTAAAGGGGGTGCACATGAAATGGAGGTGAACCCAAACATACATGTACGAGCACGGTTTATTTTTGTCAACAATTTCAGGTTTGTTGAATATTGATTAACGGTTTGAAAGCAAAAAGAAAAAATTGTGGAAAAGGAAAACGTATCGGTATTTTAAAAAAAATTTAAAATTGGGGGAGGAGCCCCTGCTGGATTCACTGCCAAGGTTGTCATCACTTTGAGATGTACGCTAATAATCCTTTGAGGGATGATACAGTTACTTGAAATGTCAGTTCTCAGTTTCGAGAGCGGTCTCTTGTGGGGGATATTCATGTAGTCACATTTTACTGAGTAGGGGTGGGAATTCAAATCCTGTTTGGCAGTACTGAGTGGGGTTGCATGAGTGTCCATGTCTCCACCTTGGAGCAAATGGTACCTGAGAGGACAGGGCTAATTGGTGTTGTTGACCAACCCAAAATGGTTGGATCAAGATGTACATGGCATTTTAGAAATCACAAAGTTTTTTTTGGGGGGGGGGTGAGTTGCTTGTTTACTTTAAAACCTTTCCTTAGGTGTACTCCATACTGTCAGTCCATTTTTCGTTCTTTCATTTTGAAATCAGCAAGGCAGTGCTGGGATCACGCATGACTGATTTTTTTCCCTTCTCGATAACAGGAGCTTCTGTGCCACCTCCCCCACCAATGGATGACACCCCTTACCCGGCCAACATGGGCATCACTGATGAGGAGATGCCTCCCCCACCAGAGTTTGTCCAGGCTGGTGATACGGACCAGTCAGCTCCAGCTGACTACATTGAAAAAGGTGACGTAACAAAACACGTCGTGTTTATTTTGTTGTTTGGGGCCGTTTTTTCTTTAACTTAATGTTTGTTAGCATAGTCAAAATATTCTAGCTCACCTGTCACATCTAAGATTGCTTCATTGTTAATAACAAACTCTCAACTTAGGTTAGCAGGTATGGAACAAAACCCAATCTCCTTGCACCCCTAAAACATCTTGGTTAATAGTGGTGTTCCCTTTTATTCAGTGAAACTTACATGTATATCCCCATGTTAAATGAATGTTATTCTTGATTCGGCCATATTGAAAATGAAAGCAAAGTATCGTTTTCATGTTTGAACTTAGGGGCATCAGTGAAGAAACAATGAGATTTCCTGACAAATCATTACCTGTCTTCTCTGATGAATGAATTGAAATTTCTGATGAAAACATACCTTAAGAGTTTTATGTAAGATTTTAAAAGAAGGCAGCATGGAACCCACAAAAATGCTAAAACAGTCTTCTGGTACCGCTCCATTCAGCAGTTAACAATATGCAGCACAGATACTAAGAACAAGATCAGAAATGACTTACGCAGGAATGAGCTCCATCGACCCATATTCTGTAGAACAGAACACTGCATACAAAATAGGTCTTACAAAATCATTTTCATTTTAGAAAAAATGTGAAGTACATTTTTTTTTTTTTTATAAGAATTCTTTTAAGGGAGCGAAAGGTAACAATTCTTTTTAACACCAAGTTCTTTGCATCTTTTCTTTACCTCAGTCATTGCCATTTATGGCTATGAGAAGAACCTGGATGACGAGCTGACTTTCCAAGAAGACGATATCATCTACGTTCTTAACAAGAACCCCAATGGTTGGTACGAGGGCATTCTGAATGGCGTGAAAGGTATGTTCCCTGGCAACTACGTACAGACAGTCCCTTAGATTGATCCCTCAGCATTCATTAACGTCTGGACAACAATCAGTGTTTTTAGGATTTTTTATCCTTTTTCTACAGTTTTTGAAAAAACAATTCACCCTCTGTGAACTTCATACTAGTTTGAATGATCTGAACTTTGCAGTTTATAAACATTAGTCGGGCTTGACATGCCCATCCGAGTGAAATGTATTTCACAAGATTTTCTGTATGTTTCTCAAAGTTTTATAGACAGACTGATGACTTGAATTAAGTTTTCAATAAAAACCTATTTTTAATACATGTGTAATTGTAGAAACCATGGAGAGTGAAATTAGTTTAGGGACACAAATCACCAATAAAACCCATAAAATGCCATACAACAACATATTCAATTTTCTAGCAAAGGCTTCACACTGATTGCAACATTGAGGTTTCCTCCTAATATGACATCACACTTTTTCTCAAGAATATGGAAATTTGCATCCACATGAAAATCTAAAAGGTTCTGAAATGCTATTAAAAATAATGTCAAACACAAGATTAAAAGTGGGATTATATGAGACACAGAGATACAAGGACTGTATTAAAAAGAACAAAATTACAGTACTTCACAATAAACTCTTTTCTATAAAAGTAAATTGGTATCTGGATGGCACTTCCATTATTGAATTTCTGACGTGAGATTAAATTATGTGGAAGAAGGGCTTGAATTAGTTCATGACTGGTATTTTGCACTGCTGATATACAGATGTAACAAATGAAATGCATTACAAGGAAGTTAAAATGTAAGAATGAAATTGCAAGGAAGTTAGAATGTGACTCATGCAAAAACAAACAACCCATTTACTTTGTTTACTTAGAGCAGCTGTGATATATACATACGTCATACTCTAAGGGTTTGAAATGAAAGTTTCATTTAGGACACGTCTAATGTGTAGATCTATTTGGTTATATTTTGGAGATTTTTTTTAATGCAGAATAAATCTGACATATTCCACCAGTGCTTCGTTATTAGTGCTATATTTTTGTAAGCAGAACTATATTTTTGCTGTACATAAAACTTCAGGATTTTTAATGAGTGCATGAGTGTTAGGTTTAGATGCATATTTAAACTGTACTTTCGTCAATTAATTTACATATACATGTACTATTTAATTCCCTGCAATGTATAACCAACTCATTGCCTTCAGAAAGTGTTCTAAAGATTGTCTGACACACAAGGGGATCTTGTTTCATTGGAATTTTCCCTGAACCAGTTGTTATGTCTTAGGCCTGTTTGAATGGTTATGTCATCGGCTTTAGAGAGGGAAACAGATGTTATGATTGGTTTTTAAAAAAAAATTTCGAAATCTACACAGGAATTGTTTTTAATTTGAATTCACCAATTTTCAGTACGAAAAGGTTAAAAAAAGGGTCTAGTGTTGGAAGTATTTCAAAGAGAGGGATTTTTCAAATTCACCAAATTGTCATGTTGTGTGGAGTAACATCAGGCAAGACCGTGTCTGTTCTGAAATTGCCAGTCATTGTAAAATGTCGCTCATCTTTGGATTGGATTTATATGCAATTGGTTTGCAAAGATTGCAGGTACTTTCTTGTATGTAGTAATGCATCAAACTAAGTCCGAAGAAGTGCCTCTGATACGCATTTACTTCCTTGATCTCATTTGTCTCTCTCAAAAGGGGGGGGGTGTAGAGGTCTCATATATTTTTTGATACCATTTGGGAAACGGTCCCACATTCTTCACGTTTAGGCTTGTTCTCATGAATAAGCCATGTGTTCATTTCTATCTTCATTTTGTATATTAAATAGGCAAGGTGGAAGTAAAATAAATGGAGGGAATCAATGTTGCATTAATTTATACGAATGCAGACATATGTTTGATTGCTAATACTTACTCAAACACAAAATGCAACGTACAGGATGTTGTACGTTCAATGTTGTTTTAGAAGTCTCAATAACACATGTCGGGTTATCAGCAACTCAAAGGGTGGACACGGAAAGCAGTATTTTTAATACGATAATCTATTTTAGATATGTCATAGTATTTCGATGCCTATTAATAGACAATCTGGTTGGTGCCATTATTGGTGTATAATAACATCTAAGCTGTGCGATGGGATTTAACGTCTCCGGAAACTGAGATTTTCACTATAACATCCGGTTTGATGATGTCATCCAGAAATGTTACCAAAATTTCTATTTTGCGAATGAATGTTTGTGGTCTCTTTGAGAAAACTCTGGCACTCGAATTTCGGTTAAACTATTTACATTTGAATTTTCTTCAATGTTGCATTTGGGAGCCCCCATTCCATATGATACATTCGAGGGTAGATCTAGGGATCGGGGAGTGAGGCCATGCCCTCCCCTACCCAGAAAGGGCCCTAATATTATTGTTTCGCTTTTGAAAAATAATGAGAGGGGGGGTATTTCTGGGATTATTTCATTTCTTGTCCTTCCAAATGCCTTAAAAAAGAGCCATCAAATTTAGACTCACCCCTCAGAAAGGCCATAAAAGTTTGCATGCTGAAATTCCAAATTTTTTTTTGCCTCTGAAAAATAGTTTGGGAACCCCCCCCCAAAGAAAATTGGCTCTAGATCCGCCCTCGATGGCATTATCAAGCCTCAGTTTCTGTTTGACACACAACTCCCAAGTATGTGAATTATTCTGTTAGTTGTCAAAAAATCAGTGCTTATGTTTTATGTAATGGGTTTAGTTTACAGAGCAAGTACTCTTTCCAAAAGATTAACATACTACAAATATTATGCCTTATTTTGTATCAAACTTGATGTTAAAAATACAAAGTTGTAGTGCATCATAGTGTGGCGTTTATGAAAGGAGAAATCAAATGTAAAGTCTCGCGACCAAATTCCCAAGCACTGAGAAAATCATTAAAACAGGTTTTTATGGCCTCCGGCAATGAAAGGGGCGGATCCGGGGGGCCATACCCCATCTGTTTCATTTTAATAGAATAAGAGAAACACAATGTTGAGGCACCATTTCTCGTGCTCTCCTTCCTAATCCGTGTAAGACGCTCCCAAATTTAGTCTCACTCCTCAGAAAGGCCACAGAAAGTTACAAACAGAAATTCCCCAATTTTCCCCCTTCCCCCGAAAAATTCGTATTGGATCTTCCCTGGTAGCAAGATTGTGTGGCGAAGACGCACGCACAGAAACACAATCGCGTTCTGAGGAGCTTGCCACAAAGTAAGCTTCCAACCGAAGAACGTTTTTCATTCAAAAATATTTGTGCTGGAGGAAGAAAGTAAACAAATTTTGTAAGAATTCAAGGACACGTCAACTTCAGAGAACCACCACTCCAGCAAAGTTGCACATTCTATTTGTGAACGATTACACTCGTACCTGTAAACAATGTATGCCTCACTTTGGGAATAGATTATCCTTTTTTTAGGCAGAAGGGTATCAGATATCTACTCAAACGTTCCCAAGATGTGGAATATATATGCCCATCTTTTGTCTGATGTTGGATCCATCTGCTAAGTCTCGTTCTCTGCAGCAAAGCAAATTCTAGTATTGGTTAGCACATAGACCCGCAAACGGGGCCCTCCGTAGACTCCTCCATCGATCGTAGAGTGTGGCCCCTTTATGATGATGAAAGGACACTAGGGGCAGCAACGGTTCTGCCAACCTAATAAAATTACGTACAGGGCTGTGCCTCTACGTGCAGGAAGGATAAGCCTACAATATCGGCACCTTTAAGATCAACACCCCGTGTTGCTGATTTTAAAATTTAATGTATCTTACTAAAACTACAATGACCCTCGGTGGCTTGTACCTTACAATTCAAAGGCGTCAAGGCGACGTCTGAAAAGCCTAGATATCGGTTTCGCGCAAGGTTCATGGAGCTGTTTTGAGGAACGTAGGCGTTGTTTCCTAGGCCTCCTCCATCTAGGGAAAACAAGTGCCACTTATCAGGCCCGTCGCCGGGGGGGGGACGAGGGGCCAGGTCCCCCCAGCAGGAGTCTTCCCCCCATCAGTAAAAAGCGGAAGCATGAAAATATATATTTTGATGTGATGTGCCCTCCTAGCTGAAACTGTGGCCTCTTTAATAGAGCCTGATGAAGCTGGCGACGCAACGGGGATGGTTACTGTTCTAGAAATACATGGTTTTCATTTTCTTTACGAGTTATAATGGAGAGAATTTAGTCATCATTGAAATAAAAAATGCATGTAAAAACAAAACAATTATGATTCCATCCTTTCTAACGAGTACTGCTATCGCAGCCTGCATTGGAAACCTCATAATATGTGCAAGTGCTCAATCGACTCTCCCCCTCAAAATTAAAAAAACTAAAACCAAACTACTGAATTCTGCTGTCGGAAAAATGAATTTACTACAAGTTCCTCCATCGTGTAACCCGTTCTTTCCTATTAAGTTGCTTAACTACAATCCTGGACAAATCTCGTTGGAACATGCCTCCCCCTCGCCCCCTGTCAATGTTGCTTCTCATTGGGTAAGTTGGGCCGAATCTCGGTCCAATAAATGAACGCAACATTGAATGGGGGAGAGGGGGATCTTTGCAACGCGCTTCCCACAAGGCGTTCCAACTATTTTGTCCAGGAGTGTCTGAGTTTCTGAGTGGACACTGGGTGTCATGAGTGTGAGTCTGTGTTACCTGGGAGGGCTTTGGTTTGCCGCGTTGCTGTTTCGGGCGCTGCCGTGTGATGCAGTAAGCATTACATGGTTATGGAAATGAATAAATAATGACTATTATAGGCAAGGTGTGGTAATATGTCCTGTCAGGAGCATAAGCCCCCCTTAAAAAACTATATATGGAATTACATATTTATATAATATTTAGTGATGTAGGAGCTATGGGTTATGACCACCCATCGGTACAGGATTATTTTCAGTGGAAGGGTCCATAGTCAATTTGCACGAATGGGATTGCTGCTCGCAAGTATGAACAACAAGAGGCAAGTTGGCCATTGAAAATGGGATAAGGTAGGCGCATCGTGAACGGTGCACCACAGAG